GTCCATTCGACACAAACTAGGTCATTTCGGGACTAACATATGGTTTGATGTTATTTCAAGAAAGAGAGATAGAGAGAGAAATGGGGTTTAACGTCCACTCGACACAAACTAGGTCATTTCGAGACTAACACATGGTTCCATTTTATTTCAATAATTTGCTTGCGCGTAGGGGTCTTTAGCAGTGGGAGGAAACCAGAGGACCCGGAGAAAACCCAAGAGGTTGGACAAGCGACCCTACTCCTTGTCACGTACAACCGGGGAATCGAAACCCCGCCAGTTGACTCAATGACAGACCTATGATACAGCGCGCACGTGCTAACTATTCGGCCATCCAACCCCCCATGTTATTTCAATAATCCGCTTGCACTTAGAGGTCTTTAGCTGTGGGAGGAAACCAAAGGACCTGAACCAGAGAAAACCCACGAGGTTGAACCCAGAACCTTACTCATTGTCATGTACAACCCGGGAATCTTTGTCCAAGTCAATTAAGAGTTGCGCCCCTTCCCGCAATGAATCCCATAATTTTTGCATCAATATAAATAATCCTGAATTGTGACGATGAATTGGGATTAATTTAAAAAAACATAGATATGGCCCATGAAGAGAGAAATTTTACAATAAAAAAAAGTGCGAGTATTGGATATAGAAATGACAATGCAATCAATGGATTTTCTGAAATGGCATTCTTAAATTAATAAAATCTTGTTTTGGGACTAGTTGCCTCCCTTAGACTTTGTTTATGATAATATAAAAAACTGGATAATCTAACCAATGACTGATTTATTCTCAAATGTTGACAACGTATCCAGACTAATATTCATAGAATATTTTTCTGGATGATAGAGACAAACTGTTCAGTTGTATACATGTAGGAGACTTGATAATTGTGATGGAAATGTAGACCAGGCCCCAAGTTCACAAGAATTTAGTCAACTTTCAATCATTGTTTATGAGAAATATCTTTGATTCAGAAACACAAAACTTTGCATATAGTTTCTTATTGATGTTTTTGATGCATTAAAACAACAAAAGTATTATAAAAGGCTATATTTAAGTTAAAATAAGGCAAACAATTGTGAGTAAGCTGAGAATTCTTAACTTAAGCTGAGAATGCCTTGTAAACTTGGGGCGAGGCTGTCCAAGCCCGCCACTGAAGAACAAGATACACGTGCTGTTAATCAAATTGTAAATCGAATCTAATTTAAATGTAAAATGTAGGTTGAAATCAACTAGACAGTATGAATCTGTAATCAATATATTTGAAATCAACAAGATAATATAGATCTTTAATCAATATATTTGAAATCAACGAGACAATATAGATCTTTAATCAATAATTGAAATCAACGAGACAATATAGATCTTTAATCAATAATTGAAATCAACGAGACAATATAGATCTTTAATCAATAATTGAAATCAACGAGACAATATAGATCTTTGATCAATAATTGAAATCAACGAGACAATATAGATCTTTAATCAATAATTGAAATCAACGAGACAATATAGATCTTTAATCAATAATTGAAATCAACGAGACAATATAGATCTGTAATCAATAATTGAAATCAACGAGACAATATAGATCTGTAATCAATAATTGAAATCAACGAGACAATATAGATCTGTAATCAATATTTGATACATACTACAGATCATTAGGTTATCTAGTGTCGTACATGTACATTATCAAAAAATGATCCAGTTATAAAAGGTAAGAGATAAATAAAAGGAAATAAAGTGGGCTTTAATGACCGACTGTTCTGCACCGATTGGGTTGGGTTAGGTACGAGATAAAATAGAATCATGGTTATTGTCATAATTAAAATAACACAGCTTCTGTTTTCTCATATGGGTGCTGCAGTGGCTGAGTGTATAAAATGCTACCTTGGTAACAAGAAGGTCTGGGTTTCGATCTCGGTGTGGGCCAAGAAAGTTCCCTGAGATCTTCTATTTATCAATCTGAGTTCAGGATGGAGCTGGACAATTGTCTAGTTGTTTGGATAGGATGGAAAAACCGAGAACCTGTGTATACATTGGCGTGCACGTAAAAGATCCCTTGGCAGTTGGAATTCGATATAAGACTAAGAGTAGGCCATAGCGCTGCCGGCCGGGCCAAATTTTTTTCCCCATAGCACACTGTATGGCGTAGGCCCATCTTCATTAGCCCAGTATAGGACCTGGTGTCTGTTACACGAAATCTTTACTAAAGATAAAATCCAAATTTTAGTAGATACTTCAATTTTGATTGACTAAGCACTAAAATCTATCTAATATTATCCAATCAAATTACTAGTAGTTAAAATTTGGTGAAACAGACTCCAGAACAGTAGGACGTTAAACCTAACGAGGATGCATATTATACATGTATATATACAGTTTCTCCCCTTGCAAGTGGTGGCCTGACAGAGGGCCTGACAAGAACTGTCTAGTCATTTGGATGGGACGAAAACCTGAGGGCCTCTGTAAAAGAATCCTTGACTTAAACAAAAATAGGTGCTGTCCAGGCATTGAAGATTATTGTGATCGTAGCCACAATAATGACTGCTTAAACAAAATTAGTCATATGCATTAGTGTATGACGAACTTAAGGGGACAATCCTGTCGTCCAGGGAACTGACTGCAGGACCAGCTACCGGATTCATGACCGTGAAAGAAGAAATAGTTATCATGATGATATTCTGACAAAATCTTTTTCATCTCCAGTTTATCTAACCCGAGTTCACAAAGCATTCTCAGACTTAAGTTAAGAATTTACTCAACTTTCAGTCACTGTTTGATACATTAAAACAACAAAAGTTTTATAAAGAGTTATATTTTAGTTAAAATGAGGTGAACAATTTTGAGTAAATTCTTAAACATGCATTAAGCAAGAGCAAAATCTGCTTATTACAAATCTTTCTTTAGACCTGAAATGTTATCTAAATTATCAATTAGACATTAATTAACTTATCCAGACCATAATAAACTCTCGATGTCAAGGCTAGCCTTCGATGTTGGCTGGATTAGATTCCTTTATGCCGCTTAACGGCCATTGACAATTAAATCAAAACAGTGGATAATCGAGATTGTGCTGTTTATTTTAATGATTTTAGTAATGATGACCGAGACTGCGAAAATTTCACCCGCTTCGTTCTTGGCTCATAGTGGATCAATTTAACTGAAATTTTCAGCAAATTACCTTTACACTAGATTTTAACTATTATAGCGAGAACTGCCATCTCTTTATCTTATCTCCCATAATGTATCCTTAATACAAAAATAGGTGCTGTCCAGACAAAATTTCCCTGGACAATGGTGCAGGACAGAAGGTCTGACAAGGACAGTTGTCTAGTCATTTGGATAGGATGGCAAACTGAGGTCTTGTGTACACATTGGCATGCACTTAAAAGATCCCCTGACAAGTTGGAATTTGAAATAAGAGTAGGCCGTAGCGCTATTGTCCGGTGAAAATTTCCCTCATTTATCCAAACTTAAATTTTTAAAAGATACTGTCTATCTTCACTTTCATTATAGGTTATTATGGTATATATATATTTCAACTTAACTTATATAAAAGGTTTAAATAGGATTGTGGGAATTGGATGGCCGAATTGTTAGCGTATGTCATTGAGTCAACTGGCGTGATTTGTGTTGAGTGGATGTTAAACCCCCTCTCTCTCGCTCTCTCTCCCTCCCCCCCCCCCCTCTCTCTCTCTCTCTCTCTCTCTCTGAGAATTAAGATACTGTCTAGTCTATATGGTAACTATAGGTTACTACAGTATATATCTCAATTTTACTTATATAAATGTTTTAATAGGATTAATAAAATAGAACAATGTGACATGGTATGTCTTGTTATGAGACAGATGACACATGTAACATGACAGACTAATCACCTGGTATATAACTATACACTGGTCAGTTATATCAAGTAGCATGCCCAGGTGGGTTTTACCTTCATTGTAACCATGTCAAGTCCTGTAAAAATTACCTACTAGCTCATTTATTAATGTCTGCTGTCTACAGCCATAGGTAAGTAATAGACCTTCGATCCCTGCATTGGCTGAGAAAGTTCATCCAGATTTTCTGGCGTGGTTTCCCCTTGTCAGTGATGCAGGACGGAGGGCTAGACAAGGGCAGCTGTCTAGTCGTTCGGATGGGACAAAAAACCGAGGTCCCGTGTACACATTGGCGTGCACGGAAAATATCCCTTGACAGTCGGAAATTGATATAAGAGTAGGCCGTAGTGCCGCTGTCCGGGCAAAATTTCCCTCATAGCACACTGTATGGCGTATGCCCGTCTTCATTAGCCCAGGTTAGGAGCAGAACAGTAGGACGTTAAACCCCATTTCATTGCAGGTAATAGACCACTGTTTTTCATATCTGCCCAATCTGGTTAAAATACAGATCTATATTTCGTTGTTTTTTTTTTATACTTCCGATGGCCTACACTACATGAAGATCTGACCGGTTGTAGTAGAAGGTCGCGTCAGAGGTCGTACAAACGGCTTTTGACCCTATGACATCAGACATTTGATTAACCAATCAGCATTGCTGTTTCTAGTGGAACACCCACAGTTCCGCGCATTGCACGCCAAGAACTCGTTTCAACAGATCGTTTCATTGGCTAATCCCCCACATCAATCAGAACGCGGGTTATGAAGATCTGACCATTTGTAGTGGGAGGTTGTGTCAGAGATCATATGAACGGCTTTTGACCCTATGACATCAGGCATTTGATTAACCAATCAGCATTGCTGTTTTAGTGGAACACCCATAGTTCCGTGCATCGCACGCCAAGAACTCGCCGTAATAGATTGTTTCATTGGCTAATCCGTCACATCATCCAGAACGCGGGTTATATAACAACTCTTCCAGATCCTAGTGTAGTAAAGACAAGTAAAACTATAAAAAGGAAACGAAATAGGATGTGTGTTTTAATCAGACTGCATGTAGATATACCAGTTTATTATAGAGTTATATATTAAGACTTATTATTATAATTATTTATTCAGATGCAGGATCTATAATGTTTGTGTCGTGACTGTTGACATCATTTACAACAGTAGTATAATTATATTATATCAGTCCTAAGTGGTTTCAAGCCTTCTAATTTGAAATCTGACCCGGGAATATTTTAAGTGAGTATATGTATTTAAATTAAACTATAAAACAGACTTTTTATAATATACATGTATTTTAAATAACTCTATTTATCAATCTGAGTTCAGGATAGAGGGGGACAACTGTCTAGTTGTTTTGATCGGATGAAAAACCGAGGTCCCATGTATACATTGGCGTGCACGTAAAATATCCCTTGGCAGTTGGAATTCGATATAAGAGTAGGCCATAGTGCCGCTGCCCGGGAAAGATTTCCCTTATAGCACAGTGTGGGACGTATGCCCGTCTTCATTAGCCCAGTTTAGGACTCGGGGTCTCTTACACGAAATCTTAACTAAAGATAAAATCCAAATTTTAGTAGATACTTCAATTTTGATTGGCTAAGCACTAAAATCAATCTAATATTATCCAATCAAATTACTAAAATTTGGATTTGATCGTAGTTAAAATTTGGTGAAACAGGCCCCATAACAGTAGGACGTTAAACCTAACGAGGATGCATATTATATATATTTTGACAGAATATTATTTTTCCTTCTAAATCTAAAACTTTCATATATTGTGAGAGAGGGAGGGATAATTGGGGTTTAACGTCCACTCGACACAAACTAGGTCATTTATGGACTAACACATGGTTCAATTTTATTTCAATAATTCGCATGCTCGTAGGGGTCTTTAGTTGTGGTCACTGGTAGCAAACCGAAGGACCTTGTGTGTGTCAATAAACCCCATTTCTCTCTTTCTCTCTCTCTCTCTCTCTCTCTCTCAATATCACCAGCTCATGGAGTGTTTGTGTCTCAGCTAATTCTTTACACGAGAGCTTGTTCCTTTTATTCAGATTTTTTTAAGTGTATCGAGGCATTTGTCATCTAAGCTTCAACTCCAGGGATACTTGCGCACTAAAAGTTTTATGGCCATCATATTGACTTGATTGGTAAATATAACATGTCTCTCTCGGCTATTATTCTAGATATATTTAATTGACGCTTATACTATCTCCCTGATTATGTCTACTACATCGTTAACACTGTTCATCATGTGCATTTAGCATACCGATAGCCCATTTGCCAATCACGCTATTTTACCGATATTTCATCTAATAGTTTGGATACAGCTATGGCGGGTTTGGCGCTAGGCAGGGTAAGTTTACTTTTTCGGACACCTGTTACCACGGATTGTCGTGTATTTTGTACACTGTGAACAGTCCATTTGCTGATTACACTATTTTGCCTAGACCGTTTTTTTAGGACTTCAAATTTTGTCTAATGGTTTAGATTGTTCGTACTTGGTTTTATTTTATCTCTCTTTCATGCCCTCCTCCCTCTGTTAGAAATCATGGATATACCATTGTTAAAGAGAGATGTATGATTATAATTATGTTGTAGACTGATAACAGTATGATTGTAGTATTCAGGTTATCTATATTAACATCATTAATATAGTTTTAATCTATAATATAGGTCTGAAGAACAAGGGTTTATCTTAAATATAACAATTATCTTTTATTATTTAAAGGGAGAGAGAGAGAAATGGGGTTTAACGTCCACTTGACAAAGACTAGGTCATTTCAGGACTAACACATAATTCAGTTTTATTTCAATAATTTGCTTGCACGTAGGGGTCTTTGGCAGTGGGAGGAAACTCGAGGACCCGGAGAAAACCCACGAGGTTGGACAGGCGACCCTACTCCTTGTCACATACAACTGGGCAATCGAAACCATATTTAAGATGAAATACATTAACAGTTACAAATAACACATGCATCTATTAAACGTGCATTATACAAGAGCTAAATCTGTCTATTTGCAGGTCTTTCTTTAGGCCTTAAATTTTATCTAAATTATTAATTAGACATTAATTAACTTATCTAGGCCATAATCAACTCTCGAAGTCAACCTTAGCCTGTAATATTTTGTGGATTTGAATATCTCTTTTCAGAGTGAAGCAATTTAACTGAAATTTTCAGCATATTTTGTTTTCATTATCTATCGTTTAACTGTTATAGTGAGAACTGTCACCTCTTTATCTAATCTTACCTAATACCCCTTTAACATTTTAGTTAAATTTATTCATTGATACAGCGCAACAAAATCCAGCCAATGGCTGCTTTAAGGCGCTTCACAAGGATCTAATCTTGTCTAATGCCCCTTCAAGTTTTAAACCATTGGTAGAAAACTGTTCAAATCTGTTGAGAATCATAGAAAACTATTGGGTTTCTATTGCCACATAATTTAGATTAATCTGTCTAGATTAGATAATGAGTTTACAACTGTTTATTACTTTCTCGAAAGGTGTTGAGTAATTAACAGGCTAATTAATTACTCAACACTGCTCTAGAAACTAAACAGTTATAAACCCAACACCCATTATCTAATCTAGACAGACCCTTTAAACTACACAACAATAGAAACCCAATGGTTTCCATGATTCTCAACAAATTGGAACAGATTTCTACCAATGGTTTGAAACTTAAAGGGGCATTAGGTAAGATTAGGTAAAGAGAATATGCCGAAATATTAGCGACTGAATTTTAGGCCTAGCCTCGATCTTCATTACTAAAGTCGGTACGATTAAAAACATAGTCTTGATTATCCATTTTTGCATTTAATCATTAAATGAGCTTTGAGCAGCAGATCGGATTCAAATCCAATGAAAATCCGACACATAAGTTGGCATCGAGAGTTGATTATGGTCTTGTTTTGTTAATAAATGTATAATTAATAGTTTATATAACATTTCAAGCCTAAAGAAAGACCTGCAATAGACAGATTTAGCTCTTGCATAATGTATGTTTAAGTACATAAACTTTCACTAAAACATCGCAACTACATGATAAATGTTGATGTCATTATTATGAACACGAGAATAAGGAAATTGTTGATTAAATAAATCCCTTTGAAATAAATTCTGACTGAATGCAAATTGGACATGTGAGCTAGCTCTTTAACTGTGTACTTGTGTTAGATATCATGTATTTAATATATTTTTATAATTGTTCAGACATGATATTACGATGTATAAGTTAACCATGTTAATTTACTTTTAAGAACGCTGGTAGGAAACTCCCATTGTCACATGATGACATATTGTTTTTTAAAGGGAGACAAATTTTTCCCTATTTATTTATGGTTTAAAGGGGCTAAATCGCTAATATTTGGGACCTAGAAAGTGACACAAATGGGTCGCAACGCATATAATGATGTAATATGAATGTATATAAATTGATTTACATTCAATTGTTTCCATTTTTATTCTAATTTCAAATCAGAAGTCTCAAATCGATCGAATTTCAGTCTCTAGAGTCTGGTTATGCCAGTCTACACCGATAGTATTTATTGCACATGTTCTCCAGATAAGAAGATGGCATCGCCGTTTGACATGACTTGTGGAATATATCTAGCCCTCTTCTTCAAGTCCCTTGTTACAAATGGTGCTGAAAGGCATTATGGTACACGATTCGTGTGCCAATAGTAAAATGTTTATTTTGTCTTAAACATTGAATATCAGAAGCCCTTCTTTTCCCTGTAAGATCACAACATGGATGTTGATTTAAATTGACAAATAATCATTGTGTTTGCAATGATATTGAGACAGAGACTTGGCTACTTTAAAGTACATATTTAACAAACAAAACTAATAATAATTGAGTTCTTGTTTTCTGTGGTTATTAACATGTTCTATTTTTTAGGTAGAAGATTTGTTATAATACAAACAAATCATGTCTTTTTACACTTCTACGTTATAATGTTTTAGGTAGAAGATTTGTATAATCTAATAGAACATATATTTTATATTTGTATGTTTTAGGTAGAAGATTTGTTATAATCTAAATAGAATATGTCTTTTTACACGTCTACATTATAATGTTTTAGTTAGAAGATTTGTATAATCTAATAGAACATATATTATATATTTGTATGTTTTAGGTAGAAGATTTGTTATAATCTAAATAGAATATATTTTTATAATTCTGTGTTTCAGGTAGAGGACTGGTTATAATCTAATAGAATATATTTTTATAATTCTATGTTTCAGGTAGAAGACTAGTTATGATCTAATATAATATATTTTTATAATTCTATGTTTCAGGTAGAAGACTGGTTATAATCTAAATAGAATATATTTTTATATTTGTATGTTTTAGGTAGAAGATTTGTAATAATCTAAATAGAATATATTTTTATAATTCTGTGTTTCAGGTAGAGGACTGGTTATAATCTAATAGAATATATTTTTATAATTCTATGTTTCAGGTAGAAGACTAGTTATGATCTAATATAATATATTTTTATAATTCTATGTTTCAGGTAGAAGACTGGTTATAATCTAAATAGAATATATTTTTATATTTGTATGTTTTAGGTAGAAGATTTGTAATAATCTAATTAGAATATATTTTTATAATTCTGTGTTTCAGGTAGAAGACTTGTTAAAATATATTTTATAATTCTATGTTTTAGGTAGAAGACTAGTTATAATCTAAATAAAACATAATGGCTTCTGGATATACAAGTAAAGGTAGAGATTACTCCTATTATTTTGTGCATTGTTTTTTTTCTTTTAAAGGACAATATTGGTGTCAGTCATTATTACATATGTGATAGAACTGGTTAAACACGTTCCAGATACAATTTTATCACAGAGATACTTTCTACGATAGATGCGTTACAAACATTTGAAAAAAACGGAAGTGACGCCAAAAATGACAAACAAGAGTTATCCTTCTATATAACTGACTGAAGTAACGAGCGATATCAGACACACGATCGAATTTCATTTCACTGATAATTTGGACACAAGTACAAATTACATGATTTCTGGTGATTTTAAATGATTTTTACAAATTTTTAAACAAAGATTTGATATTGAATGAAGGGGAAAGAAATTAGTGCTAAATACACAAGATTAAATGATACCCAGATTACAGTGTTTCTAAATACGTTTTTATATGTTCATTTCTCTATTGACAGATCCAGTGGCCGATGCCAATCGCTTTCAAGGGGAGGGAATCAATTTTCGAGCTAAATTAATTGGTATAGATGACGTACCCGAGGCAAGGGGAGATAAGATGTGCCAGGACACGATACAGAAATTAAAAGCGATCGTCAAAATTTCTAAAGAACACAAACAGAGGATTATAGTTAATGTTTCTTTAGATGGATTAAAAATCTTAGATCAAGCCACTGCTGTAAGAGGATTTACTTTTTTATTATATATATCTAAATGTATCTGATTTGATTTAGCTGAAAAATGAAAGTAGAGGATTTACTTTTTTATTATATATATGTAAATTACGAAAAAAAATTATTTAAATGAGTATATTGTCTTTGATTCAGCTGAAAAATGAAAGTAGATTTTTATTTAATTTGGGGGGTTAAAAGAGAGAGAAATGGGGTTAAACGTCCACTGAACACTAACATTTAAAAACTTTCTAGTAGCCTTTAAGATTGCAATCAATAATAAAACGAACAGAATCTGCTTTAAAGTACATATTTAAACATACATTATGCAGGAGCTAAATCTGCTTATTGTAGGTCTTTCTTTAGGCCTGATATGTTATCTAAATTATTAATTATACATTAATTCACTTATCCAGGCCATAATCAACTCTCGATGGCATCAGATTTCTCCGATATTAAATAGATTAGAACAGTTCAGCCATATTTTGATTTAAGCTAAAAATGGAGGCTCGAGACTTGGCTTCGAATAACCAGTACGGTGGTTGAAATTATTGCACACATCTTGTCAAACTTCCAAAGGCTAATATCTTCGCTTACAATAGAGTAATTTGATTGAAATTTTCAAATTATTAATTTTACATTATCTATTTTCAAACTATTATAGCAAGAATGGCTAGCTCTATCTAAATCTTACATAATGTATCTTTAAATGAGTATATTGTCTTTGATTCAGCTGAAAAATGAAAATAGATTTTTATTTTTAATTTGGGGGGTTAAAAGAGAGAGAGAAACGGGGTTTAACGTCCACTCGACACAAACTAGGTCATTTCAGGACCAACATATGGTTCAATTTTATTTCAATAATTCGCTTGCGCGTAGGGGTCTTTATCTGTGGAAGGAAACAGGAGGACCTGGAGAAAACCCACGAGGTAGGGCAGATAACGCCACTCCATCATAGCCCACCTACATAAAAAAAGGTAAAACAGCACTTTATGAGAAAAGTGTAACAATTGTGTGCTTTATCCTTTATCATCAAATGTTGGGATGGGATTGGTATTCAAAGCGCGAGATAATGATATAGACATGCGTGATATCGCAATTAATGCATTGCATCAATGAAATTGAATAACAATATGATCCTATTAATTCATGATAAAAGCTCAGTGTGTATGTTTGTATGCCTAGGTAATTTGGAGACGATGATGATCATGCATTGTCAGCTGTTAAATTTCCTTAATAAGAGCCTGAAAAACCCCTTCTGCAAAAATTCCTGGACCCATTCCTGTATCACCATAAATAATTCCTGGAAGAGAGTCAGATTTTATTCTTTTAATGATTATATTATTTAGTCTAATTTATTTTCTAATAATTTTTTCAGAATATAGATCATACACACGAAGTTCATAAAATATCTTTCATATCTCGAGATATGACGGATTCTAGGGCGTTTGGTTATATCTATGGACCTGGAGATGGATCTCATAAATTTTTTGGAATTAAAACTGAAAAAGCGGTATGTATGTGTTTTTTAAATGGAGAGAGAGAGAGAGAAATGGGGTTTAACGTCCACTCAACACAAACTAGGTCATTTCGGGACTAACACATGGTTCAATTTTATTTCAATAATTCGCTTGCAAGTAGGGGTCTTTAGCAGTGGGAGGAAACCGGAGAGAGAGAGAGAGAGAGAGAAATGGGGTTTAACGTCCAGTCAACACAAACTAGGTCATTTCGGGACTAACACATGGTTCAATTTTATTTCAATAATTCGCTTGCGCGTAGGGGTCTTTAGCAGTGGAAGGAAACCGCGGAGGACCCGGAGAAAAGCCACGAGGTTGGACAGACGACCCTACTCCTTGTCACGTACAACCGGGGAATCAAAACCCTGCCAGTTGACTCAATGACAGACCGGATGATACAGCGCGCGCGTGCTAACCATTCGGCCATCCAACCCCCCTTTTTTTAAATGGAACAAGAGGGGGTGATTTTTAGGTTCAGATGAGAGGTGGATGTATAATGTTGTTGTGTGTCCCTTCACATTGTTTTGTTTGTGAATACTCTAAAGGAAACAATTTTTATCCGATTTAAAATGTATGTTTATATCCAAAAAGATCTCCATCCCTTTCGAAATTGGCAGGTATCGGACCATAAATTCATGGATTATGACCCCTGATTTGTATGAAAATCTGGTTTTTAATTTGTGGGTCCCATAGAGGTCATAATTTTTATCCGATTTTGATGAAAATTAAAAAATATGTTTATATTTCAAAGATCTTTTTTCCTTTTGATATTGCCGCATATAACTTACCATAACCTCCTGGATTGTACGGCCCCATGATTGTATGAAAAATTGCATTTTCAAAACCATTCATATATATATTCCTGTTACACCATAAATAGAGGATATTTGTCGTTTTAGGGTGAATAACATATTTTATTTCATCGAGAAGCAAGAAAACTTATATTTTCACGAATGCGTAGCATAGAAATGTTTTCTTGCTTAGGGATGAAATAAAATATGTTATTCACGACAAAACGTCAAATGTTCTATTTATTTTATGATTTTACAAACATTTTAGGTGAAAAAAAACATGGACTACTTTAGCCAGTGGAATAACACTTTTATTTCACTGATAAAACCCAGTAATCCACTACTGATCATAAAATAAAGAAGGTTATTTAAATTTTGTTTAAAGTGCATTATTAATCAAGAGAGTTGCCTCCCTTATAATATTTTTGGTTTTTTCTCCTCAGACATGTTGAATTACGTCGCTAGATTTATGGTTATTTTAATGTGATATAAAATGATATTCTCAATCAAGAGTTGTCTCCCTTGTAGCATTTGGACCCTGACATTGTTGAACAGTTAATAATAATAATAATAATAATAATAATCTATTTTTAAAGCGTTGAATATCAATCTGATCAAAATACAGATCTATATTTTGTTTTTTGGGTTTTTTTTTATACTTTCAATGTCCTCTACGAAATACTGATTTGAGCGGTTGTAGTTGAAAGTACGTCATAGGTCTTACGAGCGGCTTTTGACCCTATGATGTCAGACATTTTATTAACCAATCATCTTTGATGTTTTTGGTAGGATATCCACAGTTCCGTGCATCGCATGCCAAGAACTTGCTGCAACAGACCGTTTCATTGGCTAATCCCTCGCATCATCCAGAATGCAGGCTACATGTATATAACAACTCTTCCCGATCCTAGTGTAGTAAAGACAAGTAAAATGAAATTTTGAACTATAAAAACGAAACGAAATAGGATCTGTGTTTTAATCAGATTGGCTAAATATCCAACAAAAGATTTTCTTAAGAGCGCTAAACTTCGATATACAGCAATATTTGAACTGTTACTCGACACTAATATTATTTTTGCCTGTATTTTCTATGGAGATAATTGTTAGGTTATTTTGTTTTACAGGCTGAAAATTTAGTACTTTCTTTGAGAGATTTATTTCAAGTTGTATACGAATTAAAGAAAAAAGAAGTGGAAGAGGCGAAGAAACAAAAAGAAGAAACAACAATACAGTTAAAAGATGGTGAAGTTGGAGAAAGCGACGATTCCGTTTATCAGGTTCGTAAATTTAAAGGAGCTACTGTGGCTCAGTGAGTTGGGCGCTGGCTTACTAGAAGGAGGTCCTGGGTTCGATTCTGGTGTCGGTCGAGAAATTTCAACAATTGAAACCATATTACATCAACCCATAGCAAGATTATCACCAGTCCTATTAATGTGTTTTCTGATGTGGTTTTTCTTGTCAGTCGTGCAGGACGGAAGGCCTGACAATCACAGCTGTCTAGTCATTGAAGGAATGGAAAAAAAAACGAGGTCCTGTGTAAACATTTGTGTGCACGTAAAAGATCCCTTTCCAGTTAGAATTCAGTATAATAGTAGGCCATGATGCCGCTGCCCTGGCAACATTTCCCTCATTGCACACTGTATGGTGTATGCCCATCTTTATTAACCCAGTCGGAGCAAAACAGTAAGACATTAAACGCCATTTCATTTTGTATATATAATGGAGTACCATACCTCAGTGGGTAAGGCGCTAGCTGACTAAGCAGGAGGTCCTATATTCGATCCTCGTGTTTGTCTAGAAAGCTCCACAAGTCATGATGTTCTGATTGAAATCGTGGTACATCAACCCATAGAGAGATCATCTCCATTCATGAAACCACTGTTTTTCCTCTCTATGCCCTCAAACGGTCTCCTCAGGGGTTGAGAGACTAGACTAGACTAGATTAGAAGATTTGGCACCAACTTCTCATTTAATTGTGGGGTTAATCAATAAATTTTCTTTTTACAATATTGTTTAGGTACCTCAAAATGGTGCTCCAGTCGAAGGTACTGAGAGCGAATATGCTGTAAGTAAAATAATGTATATATTTTATTATGCAAAAATAGAATGTAGGCTTTTAAACATTTGAATGCTCCGTTGACTGTGTACTGGCGCAAATGTGGAATATAAAAGCACATAAGTTCACTCCAGTGATGAGATACAGCCACAACAGCTTGTTTGTTCGACGTTTCGATTGCTTAACAAACAAATATTTACGAATGATAAAATACAAACTTGATTGAATTTGTTCTTGTTTGAGTAGTTTCGTCTTTGAAAAGATCACACACGTTGTATATAAGGTAAATAGTTGTTGTGAATCATTAATGCTGTTTCCACCGAAGTGATCCATTAATGCCATTTATAATGATGTGATTTAATAATGCTGTTTGCACTGATGGATTTAATAACTTTGTTTCCATTAAAATTTTGGGAAAAAGTTGAGTCAAACATGACATGCTCTACAGTCATTAAAAATGAAAAATAACTTCAATTTAATTGCTTAATTAATACGCCATATTAAAATGTATTCATATATTGTCATAGCCTTTGTCTGTCCGTCCGTCATCCTTAATTTCTTGTTATATCTCTAAAGACTACATTTATCATCATTCTTTGAACAATTTTATATATGTTGTTTACATTAGTGAGAAGAAGAACCCTATTGAATTTGTCTTTATCACAACAAAGGTTATCCTCTGAATCACAATGTGGCAATTTTTGTTGACTTTGTGTAACTTAGCTGCTGCGGACGTAGGTTTCATTGCCTGGCAACCTATCCTTTAATTCTAGATAACGCATGTTTAAATAATCTAGCTTTAATTTATTCTGCTGTTACTACTTTTGCGTTTGTTTATTTTGCGGTGAGTTGTTTGAAGAGCTTTTTTCTATTACACAATAAATACTATGCCTGACCTGACTTTGATATATTCGCGGAATGGTCAAAGATTCCTGTGGACCTCAAACTCAAAATTCTTGAAGATTCATTCTAAATTTTCCAAAATCTGACATACATGCACCATGTTTTAGCTTACATTTTACGCGTTGTACAAGTATTTTAGATGTTTCCACACAATTTATTGATTGCTTGTGAAAAATATCTTACTTGAGATAGGTCAGTTCTTGGACTTCGTGATATTTTAGGTTATTTGGAATTATTTTAATAAATAGATGGCTGGAAGATAGTTTGAGAAAAGATCTCTTCATACAAGATGTGTTTATTATAGTTCTATTTATTTATATATCCTCTTGGTTGAGGGGGGGTCACGGTGGCTAAGTGGGTAAGACGCTGCCTCGCTGGCCTGGAAGTCGGGGGTTCAATCCCAGCATTGGCTGAGAAGGTTTATCCAGATTTTCCGGTGTAGTTCCCCTTGCCCCCCCTCCCTTGTCAGTGATGCAGGAGGGAGGACCTGACAAGGACAGCTCTCTAGTAAAAAAACTAGGACCTGTTTATACATTGTCATACACGTAAAAGATCCCGTGGCAGTTGGAATTTGATATAAGACTAGGGCGTAGTGACCCTGCTGAGGCAAAATTTCCCCCATAACGCACTGTATGGGGTATGCCCGTCTTCATTAGCCCAGTTGGAACAGAACAGTAGGCTGTTAAGCCCTTTTGCATTTCATTTCATTTTCAACTTGGCTTATGAAGAATGGGGGTTTTATGGCCGAATGGTTAGCATGTGCGTGCTGTATCATAAGGCCTGTCATTGAGTCAACTGGCGTGGTTTCGATTCCCCCGTCGTATGTGACAAGGAGTAGGGTCGACTGTCCAACCTCGTGGGTTTTCTCTGGGTCCTCCGGTTTCCTCCAACTGCTAAAAACCCCTACGTGCAAGCTAATTATTAAAATAAAATGGAACCATGTGTTAGTCCAGAAATGACCTAGTTTGTGTCGAGTGGGCGTTAAACCCCATTTCATTTCATTTTCAACTTGGCTTATGAACAAGGGGGGCGGGGCGGTGGATGGCCAAATGGTTAGCACGTGCGCTCTGTATCATAAGGCTTGTCATTGAGTCAACTGGCGTGGTTTCGATCCCCGGTTGTATGTGACAAGGAGTAGGGTTGCCTATCCAAACTCTCGGCTTTTCTCTGGGTCCTCCGGTTTCCTCCCACTGCTAAAGACCCCTACGCACAAGCAAATTATTGAAATAAAATTGAACCATGTGTTAGTCCCGAAATAACCTAGTTTGTGTCGATTGGACGTTAAACCCCAGTTTTCTCTCTCTCTCCCTGGCTTATGAAGAAGGATTCACCCAAGAGGATATATATATATTTAATATACCTTGGTTTAAAGCCCATGAACTAACACCTGTAGCTTGGATGATTTTATATCACCTTTAGGTACCTAAGAATAATCAACCGATTGCGGAGGAGGACGGTGGAAATTTATTGAATTTACAAGATCAATTAACCAGTATAGAAAAAGTGGGCATAACTTTGATTTATAATTATAATAAGCCGTCTGTCTTGTCTCGGCCATTATGGTTTGCAAATAGAAATTTGAGCAGTGCTCCCAGGGATTAGATATGAGGTGGTTAAGACGCTGGCTCGCTAGCCTGGAGGTCGGGTGTTCAATCCCTGCATAGCCCGAGAAAGTACATCCATATTTTCCGGCGTGTTTCCCCTTGTCAGTGATGCAGGACGGAGGGCCTGATAAGGACAGCTGTCTAGTCATTCGGATGGTACAAAAAACTGAGGTCCTGTGTACACATTGGCGTGCACGTAAAAGATCCCTTGACAGATGGAATTCGATATAAGAGTAAGTCGTAATGCCGCTGTCCAAGCAAAATTTCCCCCATAGAACACTGTATGGCGTATGCCCGTCTTCATTTGTCCAGTCGGAGCAGAACAGTAGGACGTCAAACCCCGTTTCATTTCATAATCGATCCCTGTGTTGGTGAATGGTTAGCGCGTGCGAGTTCATTCATAAGGTCTGTCATTGAGTCCACCGGCGTGGTTTCAATTTCCTGGTTGTAGGGTGGCCTGTCCAACCTCTTGGGTTTTCTCCGGGTCCTCCAGTTTCCTCCCACTGCTAAAGACCCCTACGCGCAAGCGAATTATTGAAATCAAATTAAAGCATATGTTAGTCCCGAAATGACCTAGTTTGTGTCGAGTGGACATTAATTGCCATTTCGCTATTTATTTTGATAAATGATGACTTGTCAAGATGATGGTATAAGAGCACTTATCCAATTTTTATTTGCAAAACATTACATGGATTAGAGTAAAATAATAGATTTTATAGTTTATTTGCTTATATATCTTTCCTATTTCACCTTGGTTTTTACTACTTAGAAATCATATCTTATTAAAGTCTTGATGCGTCATTTTTGGGGGTGATTTTCAATCCCTTGTAAGCTACAATTTTGTGAAGGTTAAATCTCTAATACGAATATCATTCCAAATATGGTTTGATTCAGCTAGACGCTTTCATTCAAACGCCACACTAAATTAAAATCTCTGGAGATCATCACTTTAGGAATTGTTAATCCCTTGCAAACTACAATATTGTGAAAGATGAATCTCTAAAATGAATATCAATCCAAGATTGGTTCAATTTCGGTTCAGTACTTACAAAGTTATGATCAATTGAAATTTCATCGATTTATTTGCTTTTTACTATGTAGCAATAATTCTGACACCATTTTGTTGTGAGTGAACAAAAATGATTGAATCTGTGTCAGGAGATTATCTTGTGTTGGTATTTGGATTATGTTTTCTTTTTTAAAGAATAATATTGGTGTCAGTCATTATCACATATGTGATAGAACTGGTTAAAACATTCCAAATATAATTTTAACACAGAGATCATTGCTACGATAGATGTGTAGCAAACATTTGGAGGAATGGAAGTCACAAAAACTAATGGAAAACATGAGTTATCCTTCTGCGATAACAGATGCACCGCCGAATTTCAACTCACGGATAATTCCTTCGAAGACCAAAAGTTGTTATGTAAGGTTGTGAGAGGATATCTGACAATTCAAAAACAGAATTGAATGTCACTAGATAAGAGGAAACGAGAAACATAGAAAAGGCCTGTATGTATACTCCCTTGTTTTTATTCATTCTGTACTTAATAATAAAAACATGGTAGTGCATGGACTTTTTCTATTTTTCTCTTATCTAGTTCTTTTTATAAATTGTCAGATATCCTCTCACAGTCTCGTATAACAACTTTTTGTCTTCGAAGGAATTATCAGTGAGCAGAAATTCATCCATGTATCTGTTATCGCTGGTTACTTCAGTCAGTTATATAGAAGGATAACTCATATTTTCCTTTTGTTTTTGTGTCTTCCGTTTCTTGAAATCTTTGTTACACATCTATTGTAGCAATAATCTGTGTGTTAAACTTATATTTGGAACCTCTTGAACCAGTTCTATCACATATGTGATAATGACTGACACCAATATTGTCCTTTAAATGTTAAATAATCAGAGTACATATTGGCGTAGATTAAGCCGTGAGAAATTTGATATCTAAGCGAAAAATGAAAATGACGCATCCTTGCTTTAATTAATTGCATGATAATTACTGTGCTTTATAGAATGCCTGTTTCTATAGTGTCAATCTTTTTTTAAAAGCTCGTCTTTTAAGATTTGTTGGTCTTTTTTCACATATTTAGATTTTCTATTCTAGGGTATTAAACAAATGAACACCTTCGATAGTCTATTTGGCACATCTCCACCAGTAACTTCAGCAGCACCTAGTTTTGACGATGCTTTTGGAACCAGTATTTCTTCTGCTGCTCCCACTGTATCAACACAACAGCCTTCAATGGATCTAGCAGGATTGGGAACACCAGGTCCTGGAACCCCATTTCCTACTGGACAGACTTCTATGCCTTTTCAAACCGGCCTTACTACTCCGATTGCTCGCCCAGGTTTTGGAGTTTCCATGGGACAACCTGGTTTTCCACCCATGGGCCAACAACCAGGATTTCCCACACAAGTTGGACAAGCGGGATTGGCAGCTCCTGGGTTTGGTGGTAGATCATCCTCACCATTTGGTGGTAGATCATCCTCACCATTTGGTGCAGCAGCAGCAGCTCCTGCTTTTCAACAGGTAAAAAAAAAATGATAACAAATTTGTAGAACAAATGGAGCTTAACGTCAGACTTTGCTGCTTACACAGGACCTCGTTTTTTGGGGGAGTTGGGTGGCAGATTGGTTAATGCATACGCGTTGGATCCAAAGGTCTGTCATTGACTCAAGTGGCATGGTTTTGATTCCCAGCTTGTATGTGACAAGGTGTAGGACCACTTGTCCAACCAGACTTATTAAATTCAATATGCATTTCTGATCTGGTGTCAAGATCCATTGGAATATACATTAAGCTCTTTTGGGAGCCATGGTGGCTAAGTGAGTAAGATGCTGGCTCACTAGGTCGTGGGTTTGATCCCGGTGTTGACTGAGAAAGTTCATCAGGATTTTCCAACGTGGTTTCCCGTTGTCAGTGGTGCAGGACGGATATAAGAGTAGGCCGTAGCATCGGTGTCCAGGCAAAATTTTCCTCATAGTGCACTGCATTGCGTATGCCCGTCTTAATTAGCCCAGTCCTAGCAGAACAGTAGGACGTTAAACCCATTTCATTTCATTTAAACTCATCTGTTTGTTTAATTTTTTCTTCGTTTCTTTCTTTTCAGCCAACAGCACTACAACCTCCTCAAAGACAAGCTGCAATACCAGTTACTTCAGATCCTTTTGCAAATGACCCGTTTTCAAGTCCAAATCCATTTGGTCAAACTAGCACTGCCGGAGTGGGAAGTCAGCCCAGTGCATTTGGTGCTCCAGCAGGTAATCCATTTGGTGCTGCACCTGGTGGAAGTGGTGGTTTCCCATCACCTCCTGCTGCAAATGATTCAGTCGGGTGGCCTGATTCAGGAGCAGACATTTTGGCACCAACCAAATTAGGAGGTGAGGGCGAGACAGAACCTGAAAGTAAAGATAAAAAGGGCAGTGATTTTTTCGGAGATTTGTGTGATATTGGAAGCATGACTCAAAAGGCAAAGACACCAAAAGATATGTTTAAAGAAAAAAGCGAACCCCAGAAAAAAACATTGAACCAGTTGAAGGCTGAGAATTTAGCTGCTTCAGCAAATCCTACTTTAGGAACGCCTTCCAGACCAGCTCCAGCGCCACCAGTCCAGTCAGTGGCTTCATTACAACCTGCAGCGGATCCATTTGGATTTGGAGCACCTGCTCCAGCTGCAGTCCCGGCAAATGATCCATTTGGAAATGTTCCTATTGTTCCAACGACTCAACAGGCAAGTTCATTCCCTGCACACGATCCTTTTGGTCCATTGGACAAAGGGGTGAATCATATTCCTGACCTGGCCACCAAGTCTGCTGATCCTTTCGACACATCATCCTTCCTTCACCAACCCACTCCTGCAAGGCACACAGAATCCTCCAGCAATATCAATGCCTCACAACAGCACAGTCGTCAAAGACCACGCCCAACAGCCAAAAAACCTGCAAGTATACTCAATGGAGAATCATCAAACATAAAGAAACAATCAGCGTTAAATGAAAATGATTTTGATTTACCCTCCCCTGACGAACCTCCACCTCCCCTCCCAAGTGATGCTTTATTTAATATACCTAAAAATGCTCCTGCACCTCCACCTCGACCACCGTCAGCAAGTAAGAAATCGTCAACACCTGTAGCCGTGGCCCGATCGAGTTCAATTAAAGACAGTTTATCCGTGCAATCTCATCAAAGTGGTGCGAGTTCGAGTTCCGATGATCAGGAAACTTTGTCGAGTTTATCGCCAATTAGTACAAACTCGAGTTCGGACACATCGCCAGTTCCTGCCATACCGAGGCGAACAAAACTTTCAACGTCATCTGATACATCTGCACCCCCTATATTATCACAAGACACTTCATCCTCAAGAGTTAATCCTCCTCATCCTGCGCTTAACCCTGAATCTAACAAGTCGATCACACAAAAACAGCCAGTGCCAAAACCGCGTAAAAGCTTGAGTTATAAAAGTTCGATAGGAAGTGCCGATGGTGATAGAAAAAAATCGGATCCTTTTTTTCCTGATCCCGATCCTTTTGCGGACGATCCTTTTGCGGACGATCCTTTTGCCCAAACTATAATCACCCCTAATAATAATAATATCTGTAAGGATCAGAACGATAATGACCCCTTTTTATCTAGTCAACCAGCCAATAAACCACGTGATTTTCAGTCTAAATGGGAGGCTTTTAGTGATTTTAATTGTGTCAGTGACAATATAACAAATATAGGTAACAAACACAAACACAATCAGGTAAGTCTACTTTCATTTTTCTTGTGGACTTGTCCATTGTGAGGAGAGACCTAATCGGATGGTGCAATCATGATGGACTTTCCCCCAATCAAGATTAGTCCATTGTGAGGAGGAACCTAGTTGAACAGCGAAATCATGATAGGCTTTATTGATATCAAGATTAGTCCATTGTGAGGAGGTGCCTATTCGGACAGCGAAATCATGATGGACTTCCCCCCAATCAAGATTAGTCCATTGTGAGGAAGGATCTAATCGTACAGCGAAATCATGATTGAATTTCCCACAATCAAGATTAGTCCATTGTGAGGAGGGACCTAATCGAACAGCGAAATCATGATCGACTTTATCGATATCAAGATAAGTTCATTGTGAGGAGGGATCTAATCGGATGGTACAATCTTGATGTGCTTCCCCACCCCACAATCAAGATTAGTCCATTGTGAGGCAGGACCTAATCAGACAGCGCAATCATGATGACCACCCACCTCGATCCAGATTAGTCTATTATGATGAAACCGAAATATGTCCGCCTTGAATGAACTAGTTTCTATAACCCTGTAAATAAACAATTGTCCAAGTCATAAGTCAAGTTTGGTATTGGGGGACCAGAATAATACTGGTTTCCTAAAAACGCACTCTAATTATTAATCCAGCAAAATTTGTACATGCAGACTTTAACAAAAGTAGTAGATCCGCCCCTGAATTGACACCATTTAATATGTCAATAAACACAAACATGATTTATTCTAATTATAACCTGATTGCATCAGTTAATGCTTTATTTATTTATATCATATATACACACGCATTTAGATGGTTAATTTCACAAGTAAAACTTGAATACTTTAGGTAAAAATAAAGTGGAATGTCTAATTGTTAGTTTTGAATGTAAAAGAAGTACACTCGCGGCTAGATCTATTTGTTAAGGCCAGCTCTATTTTCGTCAAGGTCGCTGAGATGTAAATAAGGTTATGGCATGTAATAGTTGACAAGATATCGAGGTTTTTTATTTGACCCTTTTTATTGTTTTCCAAAAATCTTTATAATATCTTATTTATGTAAGAAAGTTGAATTATTTAATGTGTTTTTGACCAAACTTGAAGTTGACCTTATCAAATAGAATTCAGTTCTGTAGGTCCCTTTAACGAAGGGGGATTGGATGGCTGAATGGTTAGCGTGCGCGCGCTGTACCATAAAGTCTGTCATTGAGTCGACTGGCGTGGTTTCGAATCCCCGGTTGTACGTGACAAGGAGTAGGGTCGCCTGTCCAACCTCGTGGGTTTTCTCCGGGTCCTCCGGTTTCCTCCTACTGCTAAAGACCCATACGCGCAAGCGAATTATTGAAAAAAAATTAAACTGTATGTTAGTCCCGAAATGACCTAGTTTGTGTTGAGTGGACGTTAAATCCCATTTTTCTCTCTCTCCCCTTTAACGAAGGAGAGTCACAGTGATTATGGTGCTAGTTCGATGACTGGGTATGTCAGGGTCTCATCGTTTTAAGGGGATGGAAAAATATGGTTCATCTGTGTACCCTTTGGCCAAAATTTAAATGAATCCTGGCGGGAACGTCACTGTCTGGGCAAAATTCACCTTCCCACCTTGATTAGCCCAAGTGGTGCAGAATAATAGGATGATGAACCCCATTTCATCTCTCTCTCTCTCTTTCTCTCTCTCTCTCTCTCTCTCTCTCACACACTTTAATTGCTGCAGAATAATAGGAGTTAAACCCTATTTCATTTCAAGATATCGATGAGGTTTTTTATTTGACCCTTTTTATTGTTTTCCAAAAATCTTTATAATATCTTATTTATGTAAGAAAGTTGAATTATTTAATGTTTTTTTTTTTTGTTTATAGAATAATACCAGTAATAATAATACGTCTTCCCTATTCGGTGATCCATTTTAAAACAACCTACTTGAACAAAGGTAAAAATATACTTCAACCAATCTTTAAAATACAGATCTATATTTGGTTTTGTATTTTTATACTTTCGATTGCCTACACTAGAGTGTTGACATTTCTAGTGGCTTACCCACAGTTCTGTGAATCGCACGCCTAGAACTCGCCATAACAGACCGTTTTCATTGGCTAATCCCTCTCATCAACCAGAATGTGGGTTATATAACAACTCTTCCAGATCTTAGTGTAGTAAAGACAAGTGAAACTAAATTTTGAACTATAAAAAACGAAATAGCGTCTGTGTTTTAACCAGATTGTAGTAGTTTAACCATACCAATCAATTTATTTTATTTCCTCAGATTTTGATGATTTTTAAATGTTGTTAATTGACATTGCTTCTCCTCCATGCATTATTATTCCAACTTTCTGAACATTTCATGAATTGTTATGTGTTTATCAGAAATGATTAAAAACAGAGCTATTTTGTGGATTTTCGTAAATATTCAATTAAACATATGCGTACATGCACTGTTCAGTTTGCTAATGGGGATCACATGGCTAAGTGGGTAAGACGCTGGCTCGCTAGCCTGCAGATCGGGTGTTCGATCCCTGCATTGGCCGAGAAAGTTCATCCAGATTTTCCGGCGTGGTTTCCCCTTGTAAGTGATGCAGGATGGAGGGCCTGCCAAGGACAGCTGTCTAGTCGTTCGGATGGGACGGAAAACTGTGGTCCCGTGTACAAATTGACGTGCACGTAAAAGATCCCATGGCAGTTGGAAGTCAATATAAGAGTAGGCTGTAGCTCCGCTGCCAGGGCAAAATTTTCCTCAAGTCATGTCAAACGTTCTTCGTGTTGTTTCAATATATTAATGGCCGAAGTGATTCCCCAGAGAAAGAAATGAATGGTAAACCTCCCTCTCTCTGGGAGCCGAGATTGCATTATGATTTTTACTTTAAAATGCAGATGTGACGTTTACCTAATGGTACGGACAATGTGCCAAGTGTACATTATTTATACTAGTTGAAATATTGGACCCGCGTGATGTATTTCAAGGCAAAGCGCATGCTAGTGTGTGAATTTTAGTTGTTTAATGGTCTTGAGCTTAAGACATTGCATAATATATTGAAACAACAATTCGTGACTAACATCCCTCGTGTTGTTTCACTATATTACTTATTGTCTTTCTCTCGACCATTAGACCATACTTATTTACTGTTTACATTGATATAATGGGCCTTTAATGTAAATTTCTTTTTCAGAACAGATGCCAAAACCTTTAACGATAATCAAAGAACATATACAATATAACTATTGTCATGGTGTAAAACTGTATTTATTCATCCCATCTATATACAACATTGGATAATCTGCTGTTAAACTTTATAGTCAGTTTCAGATATCTCTTATCTTATGCAACAATATGATCAATCATTGTTTTATTTGATTTATTATATTATTATACAACTTATCTTTTACTATTTATAACACTGCTATATTTTTTATATCATAGTGTTTTTTTAAGTCCTTATGTCGTTGGTACCTGTGGACGATGTTAGGGTATTTAATCTATGCACAATGATTTTGAGAGTAAATTTGAATATTTAAAAAATTTGAATGGAATATTTCAAAGATTTGAATGGAGTTTCAGTGGAATATTTAAAAAATTTCAATGGAATATTTTTAAAAAATTGAATATTTCGAAAACTTGAATATTTCAAAAATTTGAATATGGCAATATAAATATATTATATATATTTTACTGAAAGATTTGTTCCATTTAAAATGACTAAGCCTCTTTGATTTGGGTAAAAATAGAAATGTCTGTTTAATTGAAATTGATACATATAAAAGTTTAGATCAACAATGTTGAGATAAAATGGTTTTGTTTTTCCACAGTGAACAATTTTAAGTAAAAAAAACCTCACTAGAATTAGTAAACAAAATGTATTCCATTATTACTTTGCCAATATGAACGGTGGGGGTTGAATGGCCAAATTGTTAGCGCGTGCGCGTTGTATCATAAGGTATGTCATTGAGTCAACTGGCGTGGTTTCAATTGCCCAGTTTTACGTAACAATGGGTAGGGTCGCTTGTCCAACCTCATGGGTTTTCTCTGGGTCCTCCGGTTTCCTCCCACTGCTAAAGACCCCTACGCGCAAGCGAATTATTGAAATAAAATTGAACCATATGTTAGTCCCGAAATGACCTAGTTTGTGTCCAGTGGATGTTACTCCCCCACCCCCCTCTCTCAATGTTACCCCCCCCCCCCCCTCTCTCTCTCTCTCCAATTTGACCTTTACCTGAATCAAAGAGATTTGTCACCTTTCGGATTAACTATTTTATTACTGTTAAATATGTGTTCTTTTGTTTATTCCACATCTATTCTGCAATAGTCACATGTATTTTTAGAATTTTTCACATTACATTGTATATTGGAACTGGAAACGGGAGTATAATGAATATATACTCCCCCGCCAGTTTGGCATCTTTATATTTTAATTTATTTATATATGATGTAATATCAATGTTTATTATACAGATTAATTATATATCCACACAAAATTATATATTTATTTTATGTTTTTATGCATCGTTTCAATTTACCTATCCCAGACGTCAGTCAGATTATGCCGTCAGTCAGATTATGCCGTGGTCGTCAAATCGTCAAAGTAACACAATTTTCTACGATCATCTGAAAATTCTATAAATTATCGAAAATGAAGTCCATATTTAAAAAACACAACACAATTTAATTTATGTGGAATACAATCACTGGTTTATACACATATCACACGACGTTTCGACAAGTATTCTCTTATCGTTATCAAGTACAAATGCCACTCAAGGATTATAAAAGTCCATATTTACTAATATAAATATAACTTTTGTTTAGAAAGAAAAAAATGGCGATAATGTGGCTATCCTTGCTCTGGGGATAGGTTTATTAAGTTATCGCGGAAGTCACGACTGTATGATGACCCAAACTTAACTCGTAGCAACTGTTGATATTCATACACTCTTAGACCCAACTAAAGACACAATCCACTGTATTTTAACAAGTGCAAGCGGATTTATTCAAAGGACTAACTTACTTTACCTGAGGATCGATCAATCGTTGTTCGAAATATGTTTATCATTTGCTTAGAATGGATCAATCATGGTTCGAGATATGTTGATTATTTGCTGAGGATCAGATGAATCACGGTTCGAAATACGTTAATTCGTGAGGTCCACATATACCAGCTGTCTTTATTAATATCAACTTACATTTATCTGATTATTATTGGATGTATTTATAATTTTGTTATGTTTTTTTTTTTTGTTTGTTTTCTTTTAGTTAAGTTTATCTGTTTCCATATAGCAGTTAAGTTTACTTGTTGGAGTTAAATTTAATTGTTTCTGTAGAAGCTAAGTTTAATTGTTGCCGTAGAAATACTCTCATTCATATTGTAATTAGTGCAGGTTCTATTTCTGCTTATAAAGATACATTATGAAAGATTACATAAAGAGCTGGCACGTCTCGCTATAATAGTTGGATAATAGATAATGTAACAGGAATATGCTGAAAATTTCAGTCAAATTATTTCACTATAAGCCGAGAATTACTCATTTTAATAACTCTGTAGTCTTGATTGTCATTTGTTATGATTATAAACAAAGTCTTGATTATCCATTTTTGCGTTCAATCATTTATGCCTGTTGAACGGTAGATCAGATTCAAATCCAATAAAAATCGGACCCATCAGATGGCATCAAAACTTTGATTATGGTCTTGTCATGTTAATAAATGTTTTTTTAATAATTTAGATAACATTTCAGACCTAAAGAAAGACCTGCAATAGGCAGATTAAGATCTTGCATAATGTATGTTTAATAACTGAGGTATGCAAATTTAATTACTGTACAATTATAACACAACTTTTGGTAGAAATATGTAAAAAAAAAAAATACGTTGAAAGGACGTATATTTACTTTCTTCGTTTATTTATGAGATTTTTATTGTTCGTTAGTATATGTTAAGAAGGTGTTTAGAGAATGCTGAGTTGTAATCCATACGAACCATCTTTTTATTAATTTTTATTTAGTTTTGGAATCCATCCAAATATCACAAAATGCTCTTTAAATATTTACGCTTATTTTATCCTGCATGTTCACTCATGGCTGATATGGCAGACAAATGATCCCTGGAAAACTTGCCAGAAGACTGAATCGTGTCTGAAAGGCTATTCCAGCATAACGTGGGAATGGGAGTGGGGAAAAAGGAAATTCTTTGCCTCCATCCCCAAGGTTAAACCTTTACAAAGAGGCTTCACGCTAAACCCACATCTTAGGTTGAAACCCATCTTTTAATAGTAAATCGTCGCCTGTCCAACTTTGTGGGTTTTCTCCGGGTCTTCTGGTTTCCTCCCACTGCTAAAGACCCCTACGCGCAAGCAAATTATTGAAATAAGATTGAACCTCTCTTTCTCTCTCTCTCTCTCTCTTTTTAATAGTAAACCCAGTTAGTGAGATTCCTGTGTAGTTTTCCATTCATATTAATTGCATAATGTGCAAATTTGCTCAATATAATAAGTATTATTTCTATTGCTTTTGCTGGGTGCTTTGTAAAAATGGAACATGTCACTTTATAAGAATTGAACATGTCACTTTATAGAAATGGAACATGTCACTTTATAAGAATTGAAAATGTCACTTTATAAAAATGGAACATGTCACTTTAGAAGAATGGAAAATGTCACTTTATAGAAATGGAACATGTCACTTTATAAGAATTGAACATGTCACTTTAAGAATAGAATATTAATATTAATTTTATACCCTGCCTTGACAATTTTAATTTCTTAATTATAGGCCATACAAACAAAATTATTTTAACTCTTAGATAATCCTTACGAAAAAATCTGGTGCAGGAGAAAGGCTTTTATTTTTGTGTTTTTATTTGGGCTAAACATCACATTTCAAGCCACTGAATTTATCTCATGTTGTTATGGGAATGTATGATTATCCAGTATTATTTGTCAGTGACATTTATCAGGATTGTGTACTTGATAATTGAGCCTACGCCACCTTTCTGGATTCATTCAAAATGTTTTATAGGGCTACTTTCTGTCACAAGAGATAAAGCATTTACGTGCAGTAATTACGGAGGTTGTTTTTATTTTTTTTATTTTTTTTTATGTGATACAAGATGGTCTGAGAATCAGGCTCCCCGAGTTCACAAAGTCAGGCTCCGGTTTCACAAAGCATTCTCCTAAGTCTCTAACTCAATATCATCCAAAATCTTCGACATTGAAAACACGATTTATTTGTCTGGTTAAATCAACATTGATCTTGTGATCTTACCGGGAAAAGATGGCCTTCTGATATCCAATATTTAAGACAAAATAATTATTTTACAATTGGTACACGAATCGTGTACCATAATGCCTTTCAGCACTATTTGTAATAAGGGACTCGAAAAACGAGGCTAGGCATATTCCACAAGTCATGTCAAACGGTGACGCTATATTCTTATCTGCAGAGCATGCCCAATAAATACTATCGGTGTAGACTGGAAAAACCAGACGCTAGAGATTGAAATTCGATTGAGAATACTGGCGTATTTTGCCGAACCTAACTGATTAGAAATTAGAGTAAAAACAGAAACGATTGAATGTAAATCAATTTATATACATTCATATTACATTATTGTATGCGTTGCGACCCAATTGTGTCAATTTCTAGGTCCCAAATATTAGCGACTTAGCTCATTTAAGTTAAGAATTTACTCAACTTTTAATCACTGTTTATGAGAAATATCTTTGATCCAGAAACATAAAACTTTGCACATATTTTCCTATTGATGTATTTGATATATTAATATAAAGTAAAGAATTTTGAGTATATTCTTAACTTAAGTCTGAGAATGCTTCGTGAACTCTGGGGGGACATGAATATTTTCTTATGTGGCCTTATAGAGATTAAAACTATGCCACAAGACGGCTAATTATTCACTCTTATCTGTAGTTTAGATATTTCTATGCAAGTATTAGGACCCCATTTCACAATGCACACAATAAATTGATGATTTTGCTATAAATACACTTGCATGTACGTATATATTAATAAGTTCCATGCAGCAAGGTCTAGTACGATTGTTACGGTGACGTAGAAACATAATATTGTGATTTGTTTATGAATGCTGTACGAAGAAGCTTGTGTTTTGTCTGTCAATTTGTAAAAATATATAATTAAATAAGTAATAATTAATTAATTAAGTCTGTGATGCCACATCTATCTATGATTTAAATTGTGCCTTTTTCTTGAAATAAAAGATTCAGAAATTAATCCATTCTTTCTTCAGCATCCTGTGGGTTATTACCTTTGGTTAATTCAATCTGATTAAAATAAAGATCTATATTTGGTTTCGTTTTTTATACTTTTGATGGCCTACACTACATGAAGATCTGCTGACAAGTTGTAGCGATAGGTCGCGTCAGAGGTCATACGAGCGACTTTTGACCCTATGATGTCAGACAATTGATTAACCAATCAGCATTGATGTTACTAGTGGATTACCAACAGTTCTGACACGCCTAAAGCTTGCTGTAACAGACCGTTTCATTGGCTAATCCCTCACACCATTCAGAACATGTCAATGATAACAACTCTTCCAGATCCTAGTGTAGTAAAGACAAGTAAAACGAAATTTTGAACTATAAAAAACGGAACAAAATAGGATCTGTGTTTTATCAGATTGTTTTTGATTGTGATTTATCACCATGCATTGAATTCAGAATTGGGGAGGGTTGGATGGCTGAATGGTTAGCAAGTGCGCGTTGCATCATAAGGTCTGTCATTGAGTCAACTGGCATGGTTTCGATTGTCCAGTTGTATGCGACAAGGAGTAGGTTCGTCTGTCCAACCTCGTGGGTTTTCTTGACAGTTGGCGATATTCGAGTAGGCCGTAGTGCCGCTGTCCCGGCAAAATTTCCCTCATAGCACACTGTATGGTGTATGCCAGTCTTCATTAGCCCACTTCGGAGCAGAACAGTAGGACGTTAAACCCCATTTCATTTCATTTCATTTTGTTTCGCCTATTTAGAGGTTTAGTGTTAAACTTTAATATCATAATTCTCCTGAATCCTCGGTACTTTTATTGTTACAAAAGACAAACAACCATTGTCGAGAAAGTTGTTCGTGAGGAGTAAAGGAAAATAAAATTCACAAAATTTTACGTGCTCTCTCCTATAAATATGTCATTGACATATTTCTTCCACCAGAAGGCCATGCTTAAATTACCAGTTTCAACTATCTCCCCCTTACATTTCGCGCCTTCACCACCAAGAGTGTGGATGTACCATCTACAGCTACGTAAATACAATACCGGAGAACCACTGGATCCACGGCAGGTTTTACAAGAATAGCAAATGCTAAACCGGAAACCCCTTTCTGTGCATTCAAGGGTGCCTAGGGGCAAATGTTTACCAATTGTAACCATTTTCCTGCCACCATGGGGATGTCCAATTACTATTGCTGTATGAACTAGGCGCCTATTTTGTGTGTTATTTGTTTTTTGGATATCCAGCTGTTCTTCGAGGCCTCTTGGGATTGGTTTAAAGGCTAAACTCCAGAACGGTTTGTTAGCAAGGACATGAACAGCCGGAATGCCTGTGGCTAAAAGGTTATCCAAATTTATATCCAAACCTTGCAAGTTGGCGGTGGTTAGAGTTGTGGGTAAAAAGTGCACCCCCGTACCTTTACTAACACTGCCATCAGGAAAAGTAACTGTGCATTGTTGAGCTTCTTTATCTGTAAGAGCTTCTGGTAATTTTATAAAGACTTCTCCTTCAATAAACTCTATTTTACCTGTCATTGTTTTCATTTTGCCTTTAATATCTGCAATTACAACGGTCAATTTTAAATCTAAATTTCGGTTGCTCAATCCAACCCGAAGCTCTTCAGGAATAGGTTCGAATTTCATGACATCACTGGCCAGTTTACTGATGGTACCTTCATGGAAATGCACCATAGTTTCTTTCGCTTTATTCAATTCACAAGTAAATGGCATTATAAGAATGCCCGCGTCGTTTACTTTATTTGGCATGACAAGAGCTTGATATTTGTGGCTTTGTCCATTTTCGTCGATGCTTGCCACCTCTGGAATAAATAAGGTTTCATCAACCAAGTTAAGATCGTATATCTTCTTCGGCACATGCTGAAATGTAATTAAAGTTTTGTCTAACTCTTCTGATGTCTCCAATAGACCTGTGCCTTCACATACTATGACGTCAGACCTGTCTTCACTGTTGAAGTCGAATTCAATAATGCATCGTTTGGCCTGTTTTTCGTTCTCAATCACGTGATGATTTGTTGCTATGACGTATTGGCCGGCCCATTTTTCTACGAGTCCAGAACCATAATTACGCTGACCTTCATCACCTGTAACAATCAGACGAACAACACTTTCACCAACATTTCGAATATATTCAAATATTCTCTCCTCTTGCCATACCTGTGACAGGTGGTCAATTGCGAAGTCCTTAAATGGTATAAAACCTACGTGACCAGGGTTCTTAGAGCAGTTCATCCCGCCCTCTACGTCAGCTTCAGTTGCCACTTCTATCTTAAACTCAGGAAGAGTAGCCATAGCAATGCCTCTAACAATCTTCTGTAACCAAAACAAAAAAACAACCCAACTTTAGCATTAGGTATAATCAACAATCAATAGATGAAAAATACATTATGGGAGATTAGATAATAAGCTGGCAGTTCTCACTATAATAGTTAAAAACTAGATAATGTAAAGGGAAGTTGCTGAAAATCTCAGTCAAATTGATCCACTATGAACCGAGAACTAAGCATTGATCATCATTACTAAAGTCAGTACGATAAACAGCATAGTCTCGATTATCCATTTAATCGTTAAATCGAGAAGGAAAGTTATGCAATAAACAGTGGCGGCGCCAAGGGGGGGGGGGGGCATTTACCCCCCCCCCACCATAAATCTGGTCTACCCTCTGTTTGCCCCCCTCCCTCCAATAATTTTAGAAAATAAAAAAAGTATTTGGTCGGATAGACTAGGTAACCAGTGTAAATTATATAAAACAGGAGTTATGTGGTCACATTTCTTAGTTAAAGTAACAAGTCTAGCCGCAGTATTCTGTACTTTTTGTAATTTCTCTATAAGTGACACATTTACGTATTTTACCTATATTTCTAATATTAAAATAGCACAATTTACAAATATTATTTACTTGAGCTCCCATAAGTATAAAACTATCAAAGATAGCCCAATATTACGAGCAGAATAAGATGAAAATATATCACAATTACCAATTACAACAGGTGGGTTATCTTGTGCAGATTTACTTAATTGATGCCTTGAGCCTAATAACAAATATTCGGTTTTATCATCATTCAATTTTAGAAAGTTCTTTGACATCCATTTTCTAATTTCACTAATACAGTTCTCAAGTTGCAATTTTGATAAATTGAAAGAAGATGGACAATTAGGTGTAAATGAAATATATAATTGAGTATCATCGGCATACAAATGAAAGCTGAGACCATATTTTCTGACAATATCTCCTAATGGTGACGTATAGAGGGTAAATAAAATCGGACCAAGAACAGAACCTTGGGGAACCCCAGATGACAAAACAGATTCAGACGACAATTTGCAATTAACTAAAATACACTGTTTTCTACCCACAAGATAGCTCTCTAAAAGATTTAATGCAGAGCCACAAATACCGAATTTAAATTGAAGTCTACGTAGAAGAATGGAAGGGTCCACCGTGTCGAAAGCAGCAGATAAATCTAATAAAATTAAAAATGTACATTTTCTATTATCAATTTCCATTAAAATATCATTTGAAACCCGGGTTAAAGCTGTTTCGGTACTGTGAAATTGTTTATAAGCACTTTGAAATGGTTCATACAAACAGTTATCATCTAGATGGGCCTTTATCTGAGAAGCAATACATTTCTCCAATATTTTAGAAATAAAACTTAAGTTAGAGACTGGCCTGTAATTTTTAAAAACATTAGGATCCAGTGTAGACTTTTTAATTGAAGGGGTAACATAAGCTCGTTTGAAAACGTTGGGAATAGTAGCGGATGATATACAAGAATTAATAATATTGGTAAAAACTGGAATAACTTCGTCTAGACAGTCCTTAAGAACAGAAGTCGGAACAGGATCTAATGAACAAGATTTAGGAGCAGACGATTTAATTAGCTTTAAAACAAAAGATTCACTAACCAAGTTAAAATTTTCTAAATAAACAGAATTTTCTAACTTATCAAAATCATGAGCGTTAAAGTCAATAGTTTTATTTAAATCATCAAGTTCAGTTCGTATTTTCTGTATTTTTATTTGAAAGAAATCAGAGAATAAATTTGCAAGTTCAGTGTCATTATCATTGTCCGGGAGGATAGTACGCTCAGCATTATGGTCCAAAAGGGAATTCACAACTTTATACAGGTCTTTTTGTCTGTTTTCGCCATTTTCTATTTTATCAGAGTAAAATTTAATTTTAGCATTTTCAATCTATTTATTCACATTGTTTTTTTAAAGATTTATAAATCTGTTTATGGACATGTAGATTTGTTTTCCGCCACAGATGTTCAGCCTTATTACGGTCCCTTTTGGCTTCTAAAATAGAATCATTAAACCACTGCGTATTGGGACGAATAGTAAATGTTTTCGTTTGAAGAGGAACAAGCGAGTCCAAAATTTCAGCAAGCTTTGAGTGATATTGGGTTGCCTTCTCTTGTATATCTTGAATACGTTGAATGCCATTGAAATTCGAGTTCACTATTTCCGCTTTAAATTTATTTATGTCAAATGATTTAAACCTTCGATATGTTAAATTCTTTCTTGTTGGTTGTGGTTTCTGGATCATAAGATTAAAAGTTGCCGGGAAATGATCAGATATTAATTTGTCCGAGACAGAGAGATTATCCAGTTTAATATCACGTGGATTAGTTATCACCAGATCGAGAATATGTCCACCGTTATGAGTAGAAGAAGAAACATGTTGTGTGAGAGATCTATTATTCAGCATATCACAAAAATCAACCGCGGTAGAGTCGTTGGAATCATCAACATGAAAATTAAAATCTCCCCAAATAATAGTGCAACACTTAGTCATCATCAACTGGTCCAGAAATAATCCAAATTCTTCCATAAACTTTTGACACAATTTGCTATTGGGCGGGCGGTAAATTGTAATAATCCTAGTTTCCTTGAAAGAAAACTGTAGAGAACAATCCAAAATTTCAATCAGTGCCTGAATACTGTCAGACAGCATTTCTGACAGTCTATTTTTCAAAATGTTCTTGGGGAGGTGCCCAATACCCCCCACAAGGACTTGCTACTTTGGCGCTCACAAGAGGGACTTCTTTGAGGTTCGCAAGTCCGTTCGTTTGACATTTTGTTCTCTGGTGGGATAAACTAGTGATTAGTCGACGGAACGTATCTGGTCAGATCTATTTGTCTCGACAGCATTTCCGACAGTCTATTTTTCAAAATGTTGGGGGGAAGGTCCCCCATACCCTCCGTAAGGACTCCCTACTTTGGCACTCGTGAGTGGGCTTCGTCGAGGTTCGCAAGCCCGTTCGTTTGACACTGTACCTCAACGATCAGTGCCTGAAATACTGCCAGGCTGCATTTTCAGCAGCCCGTTGTTCAAAATTTTCTAGGGGAGCCCCCCTCTCCCCCTACCCCTAGTTAAACCTCGTGCCTTTGCCCCCTTAACCTTGGACTTTGCCCCAGCTTTGCCCCTCCAACAACAGACGGCTGGCGCCGCCACTGGCAATAAATCGGCTCATAATCCACTAAAGATAGCAGGCTAGCGATGCCATCGAGAGTTGATTATGGTCTGGATAGGTTAATTAATGTCTAATTAATAATTTAGAAAACATTTCAGGCCTAAAGAAAGACCTGCAATAGGCTTGCATAATGTACATGTTTAACTAAATAACTAGCATTAAAATATTTCTATAAGGAGTGGTGCTAGTCGTGTTGACGAGGAAACTGTGCATATAGTCGAACAGGTGGTACAAACAACTGCGGCCCACCCTGTACACATTGGCGTGCGCGTAAAAGAAAATTTGTCGGTTAGAATTTGAAGAAAAGTAGGAGGAAACGCCACTGTCTGGACAAGATTATACCCCTCACATTTCACATGTAAACCATAGAAATGAAATTTGCCACAATAACCGAAGTATTGTGTTGACCAGACTTTAAATAATAATGTAGATTAATATAACACAATTCAATGAAATTCAATGCCAAGCCTCTCTGACACCCACCATTCCACAAATTCACCTATTAATAATACGCTAAACAGTCAAATATTTGTACATATATATTATCAGACTTACCTTGCGAATTAATTATAAAAATTCAAGTGTGGTAAGTGGACCCAGCGTATCGACACTATGATACATATGCTTTATATGTTGTAACTTGTAAGTTAACGCAGCAAAATGACATACATTGACTTATAGATATATATATATACACCTATAGTTATAGTTCTTTGGGAATTTCTATTTCTATGAAACGAGATCGGCCTTGAACGGATACTTTTATCAACAATAGTTTTGTATTACGTGTTATCAAATCATATAAAAATTCTTATCAAGTGGTTGAATAATTTTTGGGGATTCTCATTTCGAAAATATTTAAACAAACTGGATTTGTATGATCAGCCATGCATTCCACTATACAAACTGCATGGGCTATTTGTTCATTCTCTTGTATCTTTGAGTCGTGTGTTAATTCTATAATGTATTTCCAGAGCACGCTCGTGTAATTTGACCATCTCACGTTAAAAAAATTTATCGTTTACTTTATTAGGTGATGGAAATAAAAACCAGCGGCTGCCAGGCAGGATACGCCCACATTTTCGAGAGATGGATAGAAAACAAGCTAAAACGAAAGTGATTTTTCCTACAATCAAGGGTCATAATTCAGGAAATTACAATTCGATATGCGCAAATATCGAAAGGAACCAAGATCTTTGAGTTATAAACTTACATTTCAAGTTTCAACAAAATCGGATAAACATTGTGACCTCTATAGGGTCAACAACCTTGATATACCATATTTTTACGCAATTTGAGAACGAGGGGCGGCCATTTTGTCTGTCAGTTTTGGGCCGATATTCACGAAATTCGAACTCAGCCGTCCTTATGGTGTAACGGTGATATATTAACACGGTTTTTTAAATCGGATAAAAATTATGATCTCTATAGGGTCCACAAGCCAAAAAACGCGTTTTTGGGTACAATCAGGGGCCATAATTCATGAAGTTACGGTCCGATATGCGCGAATATCGAAAGGAACCAAGATCTTTGTGTTATAAACTTACATTTCAAGTTTCAACAAAATCGGATAAAAATTGTGACCTCTATAGGGTCCACAACCTTGATATACCATATTTTTACGCTATTTGAGAACGAACGGCGGCCATTTTGTTTGTCAGTTTTGGGCCGATTTTCACGAAATTTGAACTCAGCCGTCAAGTTTCAAGTTTCATTGAAATCGGATAAAAATTGTGACCTGTAGACTGTTCACAAACAATTGTGGACGGACGGACGGACGGACGGACAGGGCGACGACAATATACGTCCACATGAAAATGTGGGCGTATAAAAATAATTTATGCAGATAATTAAGATATTATGTACAGATATCACCTTTTAAAGCGAGAATTTCATATTTTTAAGTTATATTTTTAAAATATATTAAAATAAAGCCTTAAAATAGATGGTATCTATAAACAGTCCTACCTTGTTAAAGGAGCTAAGTCACTAATACTTGAGACCTAGAAATTGACCCAAATGGGTCGCAACGCATACAGTAATGTAATATGAATGTATATACATGTAAATTGATTTACATTCAATCGTTTCTGTTTTTACTGTAATTTTTAATCAGTTAGGTTCGGCGAAATACGCCAGTATTCTCAATCGAATTTCAATCTCTAGCGTCTGGTTATTCCAGTCTACGCCAACATTATTTATTGGGCTTGCTCTCCAGATAAGAATATAGCATCACCGTTTGACATGACTTGTGGAATATGCCTAGCTTCGTTTTTCGAGCCCCTTATTACAAATAGCACTGAAACGCATTATGGTACACGATTCGTGTACCAATCGTAAAATGTTTATTTTGTCTTAAATATTGGATATCAGAAGACCATCTTTTCCCGATAAGATCACAACATCAGTGTTGATTTAAACCGACAAATAAATCGTGTTTTCAATGTCGAAGATTTTGGATGATATTGAGTTAGAGACTTAGCTACTTAAAAGAATAATCCTATTAATCCTATAATTCACTATTGCCAGTTGAGAAATTGGCAAAAATATCATTTTCAACTTCAAATTCAAACGTTTCAAGATAGCTATTCCATGTGGGGGGGGGGGACAGGGGAGGTAATTGTGTTATTATTTCCGGTGCGAATGATTTTATTATAAGTGTGATAATAATACCTATGATCGTTTAAGAGTGAGTTGACAACCTATTGAGCAAAAGACATAGAAATAATTATGTTTTGTCTTTCTTAGAAAATATTAAATTCTCGCTTTAAAATTTATCGTTTGCCCTTTTATAGGGTAGTGGAGATAAAATAGGGAAATAATAGGTAAGAGTTTTCTGGGGATAGCTTATCGTTCATCGTAGCCATGTAAAGTGGCAAGCCCGGATAAAAGGCGTCCTTTCTATTGGACGCAATACGAAGCCAACGACCAACGTGCCCATATCAGTATGGGCGTCCCATAAAGCCGATTGACATTGGTTAGGCGCCCACTTGGTTTTGTGAGCGCCTCGCCAATCATGTCGTTATATATCATGCGACCCCCAAATGGTGAGGCGTCTCAAAGTGAATTACACGATTAACACCACAACTTGATTGATGGGGATGCCCAAAACGGCGTGATCTGTGGGGTGCCTTACCCTGGACGGGCGCACATAATGACATGATTGGTGGGGCGCCTTATAATGACAATGTATGATTGTCAGGCCTCTCATAATGCACAACACCGACTGAGATTGGTTGGGCGCCCACAACTTGATCAATGGGGCGCCTAAAACGGCATGATTGGCGGGTGCCTCATATCTCGGAGAGGCGGTCATAATTCCGCACACGAAGATATTATTGGCGCCCAACCAAGGAACCGACAGGCTGTAGGTCTATGACATTGGACGAATTATAAATGTTATTGACACTGCTACATCACGCCTTGACTACTGCAATTATTTTTTCATACAATCTTCCGTCTAATTCATAATAATGTAGCCCGTATTATTACCCGAACTAAAATTACAAGGCATGTTACTCCCGTGCTTCATGGTCTTCATGGGCTCTCACTAATTACAGGACCCTTCCTTACACTCTGATGACTCTCCAGCTTATCTTAAATCTCTACTTCCCTTTACACCGCAACCCTCCGTTCTCAGAATAGCAACCTCCTTACTCCTTCATATCCCAATATATCCTCGATGATGGGGTTTAACGTCCACTCGACACAAGCTAGGTCATCTATAGGGACTAACGTATGGTTCAATTTTATTTCAATAATTCGCTTGCGCGTAGGGTTTTTTTTAGCAGTGGGAGGAAACCGGAGGACCTGTGATTCAATTTGCAGACATGCTTCTTCCTACAATAACTTTGATAATTAATAACAGCCTTCAATCGGCGTCTTTCCTTAAATTTTTAGATATGCATTTTTTAAACTCCTACTTCAGAAAGCCTTCGATGAATAAGGAAGTATTAAAAAACTATCGTCATCTGCCCAATTTACCATTCATTTCAAAGATATTGGAAAAAGCTGCAAACATTCGGTTGAACGATCATTTGATTCGGCACTCACTGTTTGACCAGTATCAGTCAGCTTACAGACCTTTTTAAGGTCATTCTACCGAGACAGCTCTTCTCAAGGTCGTGGATGGTATCAGAGATATTATCGACAGAGGTAACTGCTGCTCCTTAGTAATGTTGGATCTTTCAGTCGTTTTCAACACGGTCGATCCATTGGTGCCTCAAAAGAAACTGACTTCACGTTGACTTTGGCATTACAGATGAAGAGCCCAGGGGAAGAACGATCTAAGTCACACTTTGTCTTTTCGCATAAAAGGCAAAACAGACTTTTGGACGAGAATGTTTGATGCGAACAGAACAACGATTGGGTTTAATTACAACTTCAAAATGATGTTTAATACGAACCATAATTACCAGTACAACAACTGAATTCAACTTTTCAGGCAAATTAAGGTTAAATAAAGGGTACGATGGACTTGTATTTATCCGGTAGGCCATTTCAGAAGGGCCTTGGTTTGATGTGAATCCGATCGTTTTTACCTGAAATTGATTGTTCCACAGAAAGCTTATTCAATTTGCTACCAGATGGCACCATTAACTGGGGGTTGTTGAAAAAAGTGACTTAGATCGTTCTTCCCCGGGGCTCTTCAGATTGCGTCTTCGCATGGTTTGAGTCTTACCTTCTCGATCGTTGTCAATCGGTACAGATTACAAACACCAACTCAGATTCTGTTAATCTTTCGAACGGAGTTCCCCAAGGTTCTGTGCTGGAACCAGTGCTATTTGAACATTACACAGTCAGTGTCGCCAATATACTTAAAAAGCAACTGTAATAGCTTCTGTACCACTCCTACGCTGATGATACACAAATTGTTGACAGTTGGAATTCTACAGATCATCGGGATTCATTTAGTAGAATCACATTCCATTCACTTTTTTTTAATTGTCTGTATGTTTGTGTTTTCCTGGGTATGATGTCCTGTCCGTGTATCTGTTTTTGTGTAAATTTGTGTGGTGCAGTCCCCCTGCACTTACTATTAAGTACAAAAGCTATTAAATCATGGATGACCAATAATAATATGCTCAAACTCATTGACGACAAAACAGAGGTCATTGATACCAAACAATAGCTTCCTAATAAACTATGTACGTGACAAGGAGTAGGGTCGCCTGTCAAACCTCGTGGGTTTTCTAAGGTCCACCCACTGCTAAAGGCCCAGGCTACGCGCAAGCCAATTATTGAAATAAAAATTAAACCATATGTTAGTCCCGAAATGACCTAGTTTGTGTCGAGTGGACGTTAAACCCCATTTCTCTCTCTCTCTCTCTGTGGCATAAATCAGAGCCTGATAAACACAAACTAGTGGTATGGGCCGCCTAAGTTGGTGCTCATCCTTTTAACATTTTGTAAGCTCTGGGGTAAAGGGAGGTAATCAGACTTCAACTGTTCACAAGAAACCCAGGCGTTGTCAATTGTTACACACTTTGAGTATATCCATTAGTGACGTAACGAAAAGTGTATTATTGCCAGCTTCTGTATTTTCATATATTTATTTAAACCAGGGAATAATTGCAGTTGTCTCCCTTGTCTTATTTTTCTGAAGCTCAATATCCACTCTGCACAACTAGATCATTTCAAGATTGACAAAGCATTCTTGCTACAATAATTTGCTTGTTAGCAGAGAGAGGAACTGAATAAAGAACTGGGTTCTCATATTGAAATGAATTAGGTATTTACCACTAAATGGGCTAATTAAAGGGACTAAATCGCTGATATGTCGGACCTAGAAATTGACACAAATGGGTCATAATGTAATGGCAATCTCTAGCGCCTGGTTATTCCCGTCTACACCGATAGTGTTAATTGCACAGAATATGGCATCACCTTCTGACAAGTGACATGACTTGTGGAATACATCTAGCCTCGTTTTTCGAGTCCCTTGTTACAAATGGCTCTGAAACGCATTGTGGTACACTAGTTGTGTACCAGTGGTAAAATGTTTATTTTGTCTTAAATATTAGATATCAGAAGCCCATCTTTTCCCGGTAAGATCACAACATCAATGTTGATTTAATTTGATAAATAATTTGTGTTTTCAATGTCGAAGACTTTGGATGATATTGAGTTACGGACTTAGCTACTTTAAGACAAGCATGGGTTTGTTTTTTTTACGCTCATGCCAATGGAATCCCAAATCCCCATCCAATCCATACAACTATACACGTTCCTTGCCAGATCTGTCCTACTTTTCTGCACTGACGGGATTAGAAAGGCGAGCCCAAGCCATGCAGTATGGGTCTGGCAATTTTGGCATTTCAACCCAAACTTCGTCCAATTCCAATTGTTAATAATTCTTACTAGTGCACATGGGACCTTGATTTTTGTCCCATCCTAAGAACTAGATACTGTTCCTACCCAGGTCCTTCATACTGCTTGCAGTAAAAATGGGGGTTTAATATCCACCGATAAATGTATATGGTACAATTTTATTTCAATTTAACAGTTGGAGGAAAACACGAGGACACTGCGAATTACAATGTTTAGTAGGTGACCCTACTTGTCACGTACATGCAGGGGATCCAAACCACGCCACTTGACTTAATGACAAGACCTTATGATCTTAAGTGCACGAATACGGTCACTCCACCCCCCGCCTCTCCATTTGAAAGACACATTTGCACACAGAGTATCCCATGACAAACTAATTTAATCTCGACACCTACTGTTCTGCGCTGACTGGCCTAGTGCAGTGGCACTATGGCCTACTCTTATACGTGTACGGATCTTTTTACGTGTACGCCACACGGCACCTCATCCCACCCAAACAACTAGACAGCTGCCCTGGTCAGGTCGTCCGCCCTGCACCACTAACAAGGGAAAACCACGTTGGAAAATCCCGATGAACTTTCTCTGCCCATGCAGGGATCGAACCCTCAACCCTCCATGCTAGTGAGCCAGGGTCTTACCCACTTAGCCACCGTCACTCCACAGCACTCATCAAAATTTGAATCATAAAAAAATAAAATCCATTTAAAAAAGAAGAACTTGTAGTTTAATACCAAATAACAATCTAACTAATATTGGTAAAACACATTTCCTCTAAATGTAAATAATTATTGTATTTGTTAATGTACAGAATATTTTACATCAAGAGCTATACACCTCGTCACTTCAGATTAAAATCGTTCGAAATTCACGGATTAATCTTATTTCATATACACATACAATAGTCTCTATCATCCAAAAAAATATTCTACAAATATTAGTCTGGATGCGTTGTCAAAGACTCTCCCCTACATGTTGAAAACTAGGAGGTACTGGGTGACCGAGACTAAATATAAAGTATCATATTCAGTCGTTTAAAATTTGCAATTCATTTTTCTTGATGAAACAATAAAACTACGGTGAATATGAACAGTTTTAATCTGAGGTGAGGAATTTATAATAAATTTTTTTCTATTTTTAAATAAAAAAAAAGGGTGAATGTCACAATGAAAACATGATTAACCAGTCTTTTAAATGCAACATTCATAACATCACAACAAAAAAGAATTCTTCTTCCTTTCATTTCTTCATATAACAACATAAAAAGACTTCGGAGTTAAGAACAATCCAAGATGTCGGCTGCAGTAGTAGTGGTATGAATTGTCTCTTTATGACAGGATTGATAGATTACACCTGCAGCACGAGGCTGTCGTCTTCCCCTACCCCCTAGAAACAGGTTGACCCACAATGGATGGATGATTTATACACGATGATGATTAAAATGATGAAATGTTTGAACAGTTTGGTTACAACTCGTCATGATCCTGAAAAATACAAAAAAAACCCCCAAAATTAATAAATATAAAATTAAATCTAACAAATTGAATAAATTCACAAGTCTAGAAAACTGAATAAAGTCACAAGTATTAACAAATTGAACAAATTCACAAGTCTAAAAAATTGAATAAATAACGCACATTAGCTTGCAGTGAAGCTTGCATAAATTAAAGTTCTGCTAGAATTAGGAGTTATTCAGAAACTATGGTCTGACTATACTGCCAATAAAACTAGCTTGAACAGAGTTCTCTGAGATTCAAAGTTAAATTGGGAGGGAAAGGTCTAATTTGAGTCTTGAGGCAACAAAAAAAGGTCATTTTTCCTGCCTCCCGTGTATCACAAGTCAGCTAAATTAATAAACATATGGAAATCTTACCTCTTTTTCTTCTTTGTCTTCATCTTCTTCCTCCTCATCGTCATCTTTTTTGGCATCTGTAAAATAGATGTATTAATATTAGCCGGTCGCCTTTTGTTCCTACCCTTGTCAAACCGACGGCACCAGTGGTTAAATCCACACACTAGTATGGGGGACATGTTTTTACGGATTTTGAGTTCGATGCAAAGTAATTAATTAAATCGGGTTTAAGGTCCACTTGACAAAATCTAGGTCATCTCGGGACGAACACATGGTTAATTTTATCTCAAAACAACCAGAGAATTTAAACCAAGCCAGTTGATTCAATGACAGACCTTATGATACAGCGCACAGGTGCTAACCATTCGGCCATCCACCCCCCCCCCCTACTTTAAATCAGATTGCCGACACCTAACAGGTGTGTATAATTACAGGTGAGTATAATTATAATTTAAAACAAGACTTGACGAACTTACCATCATCCTCTTTCTGTTTCTTTTCTTCTTCTTCTCTCTTTTTACTTTCTTCTTCATCTTGTTTTTCTTTCATTTTCTTTTCTGGATCCTGAAGAAAAAAAAAAACAATATTGATTTTAAGGTCAAGTCTAAATTCATATTTAAGGATCCATTTTATCTTACTACTGGCAAACCCATAAAGCGTATCTAGAATGGAAATATTTATGAATTTAATTTCGTATTTTTAGACCCATTTAATTGGCTGAATATATACTTAAGACTAATAACCCCCAAAATTTCTAGAATGGAAGTATTTACAAAATAGTTGATATCACGTCGTTGTCGCTACACACGTTATCATAGTTAAAAAAAGGCGTGATCAGGAAAACATATGGTTCAATTTTATTTCAATAATTGGTTTGCACGTAGGGGTCTTTATCAGTATGAGGAAACCAGAGGACCTGGAAAAAACCCACGAGGTTGGGCAGGCGATTCTACTCCTCGTCTCGTACAACTCGAAACCACACCCATTATATACTTTGGATGGGACATACATATACAAATATGAAAACAATGGATCGAAGGATCCGATACGGAAGTGTCCTTCATTAGATAAATATTCATCTACTAACCTTAGTTTCTCCCCACGTTTCATTTCCAAATTCTTCTGCGTATGATTCAGAGTCTGTTATGAGTACATTATCAAAGATTGTTCCGGATTTTACCTGTAATTAATAATCATATAAATATACATTCCATTCCTAATAAACATTGGTCAGGTATCATCTATCCTAGTATAAAACCCAGTTTTTTGTATAGAGGATGAACTCTAATATCATTTTAGTAATTTCAAGGTACTGTAATAAAATAAGCATAATATTTAGCTATGGAAATATTTATCCTTTGTTTTAATATGTACAATCATTTCTGAAATATATTTATCCTTTTTTATTATGTTAATATATTTGGTTGTATCCATCAACTTCCAATGTTTGACCCAATGTGATTAAAATACAGATCTATATTTCGTTTCACTTTTCTATACTTTTGACGGCCTCTACTACATGAAGATCTGACCGGTTGTAGTGGAAGATCGCGCCAGGTCATACCAGCGGCTTTTGACCCAATGAGGTCAGACATTTGATTAACCAATCAGCGTCGATGTTTCTAGTGGGTTACCCACAGTTCTGTGCAACTCACGCCAAAAACTTGTCGTAACAGACCGTTTCACTGGTTAATCCCACACATCATCCAGAAAGCGGGTTATATAACAACTCTTCCAGATTCTAGTGTAGTAAAGACAAGTAAAACAAAATTTTGACCTATAAAAAACGAAGTGAAATAGGATCTGTGTTGTAATCAGATTGTGTTGGGCCATGAAACATACCTGCCATAAATCAAAACCAATAGCACCAATATCGGTATATTTATATAATTCATCATCAGGGGTGTATTCAGGATTATCGATTTCTGGATGAACCCATTTGCCTTTAAAGTCAGGGTTGGGGATCTGTTTTGGCTTCCATTCTCCCTGTAATGAAATAAACAATTTAATTAATGATCAATTTAAGAATAAATCTGAAGTCATCCACATGATTTCTCATTTCAAGTTGACTTAAGATCAAAATGGTCCTTTCATTTTGACAAGGTAACATGTTAAATTTCGAGTTAGATTAATTACACATTGAAGAAATTTACCAAGTGCATAGAGGACTCTTAATAGGGTTAGCATAACTCTTATATAGGGATGGGCCATTTAATAATACAACAATGTTGCACTATTTTTATCTGAAGTTACCTGACCATATTTAAAGGAGCTAAATCGCTAATATTTGGCAACTAGAAATTGACACAAATGGGGCGCATTACATATAATGTAATATGAATGTATATAAACTGATTCACATTCGATCGTTTCTGTTTTTACTGTAATTTCTAAATCAGTTATGTTCGACGAAATTGACCAATAAGTCGTGTTTGCAATTTCGAAAGTGGGTGATATTGAGTTAAAGACTTGCGAGCAGATCTGTATGAAAACAACACTAATATATGTTTAAAGTACGAACCTTGTATTCTGGGTTATCAATCATTGGTGGTTCCCATTCTCCATCCATCTCATCATCCCAATCGTCGGGTTTCTTGGCATCGGGGTCGGCGATATGTTCTGGTTTATCGTAATCTTCAGGTTTTTTATCTTCTGGGTCATCAATATTTTCACGTTCATCCCAGTCTTCTGGTTTCTTGGCTTCGGGATCCTGAAAATAGAAATAGGTTTAATGTTTAGAATTTAGACTAAAAAGAGATGGTTATAGGGTCCACTAGACACAAATTAGGTCATTTTGGGACTAACACATGATGATTATAGAACACCACCACAAATTTCAGATATCTCACAGTTCCAAGACCGTCATTGAAATTTGACCATTTTCAGAATTTCACTGTCCGTGGGAAACAACTACAAGTAATCTAATAAAGGTCAAATCAAAAGCATAATCTTTTGGCAGGGTATGCTTTTGCCAGAACACCCTATACCACCACAATATTCATTTACGAGGAAAATTCACACAGCAAACACATATGTATTGGTTGGTATTAATTTTAACTTTTATCTGAATTTATCAAATCGGCACCAGACAATGTCCAGACTTGTCTTTTAATGACTATTATCAATATTGCCATTGGATACGGTTTTCTGTTTTAAATTAAGATTTATTCCACTTCTAAACTTACCTTAATTTTCTTTGGTGGTAAGAAATCCCAATCAGCTTCCAATTCTCCGCTTTCTACCTTTTCGTTATCAATTTTGACAATGTATGTGTTATCTGGTTTCACGATCAACGTGTATAAATGAGTATAAACATCATCCTAAAAAACACCATTCATAATTCTCATTGATTTGTGAACACGAAAAATTCAAATCAAAAACGGCAAAATGCAAATGGAATACATTTTAACATTGACATACATGTAGCTAGAAATTCACTCAATGGGGGTTAACTAAATTTCGCTTCCTGGACTCAAGTTTCAGAAGTGGTACACCCATATGGAGGACCTAACGGACGTATGAGCCCCCTTCAACCCTCTCAGGGTTTGCAAATGCAAATTCAAAATCGAAAGGAACTCTTACTCAATTTGATATTCACCAAAAACTTTTTGAATTACTAAAGATTCTTTACCTTGCATCGAATATCTTTTTTAATTAATAAATTTTTGCCTTTGTAGTTGAAAATAACATGAACTTTCTTGGTACCTGGTCCACATATATCAGGCCCTGTAAATAAATAATATACCTTTAAGTATTTGCAAAAAAGACATCAATATTCATTCATTATTCCAGATGCAAGAGAGAGAGAGATGGGGTTTTACTCCACTCGACACAAACTAGGTTATTTTGGGACTAACATATGGTTAAATTTTATTTCAATAATTCGCTTGCAGTGGGAGGAAACCGGAGAAAACCCACGAGGTTGGACATTATTCCAGATGAGGAAAATAATTTATTAGTAGACTTCTGTTTAATCCTCTTTAAGCGTTAACCCCACATGCAGTATAGATACAATGACATCTGGATTTCATACAACAATCTGAATACTACCGGTAGTAGTCTTATATCCTAATATTTACACATTTCATGTACCGACCTAAATTAGCTCTTGGTACTAATATACTTAGTCATATAGAATTCTATTTCTACATTCTGAATAGTCAATAATTGAATACTATTCACATTATCAATCAAAGGACACTCGACACAAACTAGGTCATTTCGGGACTAACATATGGTTTACTTTTATTTCAATAATTCGCTGGTGCGTAGGGGTCTTTAGCAGTGGGAAGAAACTGGAGGACCTGGAGAAAACCCATGAGGTTGGACAGGCGACCCAACTCCCTTGTCACGTACAACCAGGGATTCGAAACCACGCCAGCTGACTCAATGACAGGCCTTATGATACAGCATGCACATGCTAACCATTCGGCCATCCAACCCCCCAAAGGACATAAAAACTTTTGTTGTTTTAACAGAAAATAAAAAACTAATACCAGTCTAAGGCTAATGGAAAAAAACTATTTGAACTAGAACATCTGTGTGAGAACTAATGTGGGTGTGGCACTTACCAAACATGATCAAGTATGGTGAATCTCCATGCATGTTTTTCTGTTCAAGATCACTGGAGAAGATCTTAGCATAACCACCACCACAGTCGATATTTTGTTCGTGTTTTACTGTGAACTGAACCACTAATGTCTTTCCCTCGTTACTGAATTTATCAAACTTTGCTGAAAGTCCGTAAAACCTGGCATCTTGTGATGTCTGGATACCTATTTAAAAAGAAAAAATATTATGATTTAAAGTCTACAGCAATAAGTCTAATAAATGAAATGGGTTTATGTTTTAATAAATACTTAGATGTTATTTTGTGACAAACATAAACGGTAAATTTTAGAGGCCATTTGCATATATAGCAATTCTTCTTAATATTGATATCCATTTTAAAACTTTTGGGCTTGGACCGGTTCACCTCTAATTTAATACAGTGATTGAGGGATATGGCTTGCCTAAATTGCCCCTCTAAGGGCCTAAGGCAAATTTGGTAGAAAGGGACTGGAGCCTCTGTTAATAGTCCAGATGTACAAATATTTTCTCTATCGTCCTTAAAACTATCGGTGAAATAAATGCATAAATAATGTACCTTTATCTTTTTCGGCATCACCATAAAATTTTCCAGCTGAGGATACAAATTTACCCTGTTCGGCACCTTTTGCGGTTGATTCTACCCATCTGTCCGCAAAATCATCTGAAATAAAATTTTACACATTTTCATTACCCTTACACACTGATAGTCTTTTTCCACTTCGGTCCACTGTTTAGTAATTTGAGGAAAACATTAAGAAATTTTAAATTCAATAAGCAATCAAGAGAAGGCAGTGAAGCCATACACGACTGGTTATTTATTAATAATAATATTTAACATTGAATGAAATTGAAACGCGAGGCCGCATTGACTTGACAGTCGGTTGGATCGGAGTAGCAGGTATTGCAAGATTCATCGGGAAAAGCGTTATAAATATTATTTTAACAATGTAATTTAAAATACTCACCACCAAATTCCTCTTTAAAATAGAATTTGTCTTTACAAAAAACTGCACCGAAAAGTGCTACAAACAGTATAGCGGCTTTCATTTCGACCAGACGAATACACACACACTACAAGGATCACGTTAACCGGTGCTTGGAGTAAAGTATAGTATCCCTTGTCACGTGACTTAGACAGTTGTACGCGAGCGATTGGCTTCCTTTGACCAATCAGTGCTCACCACGCGCAGAGCAAGGGATCACCCCGCGTGTTTCTCCACGGAAATAGCCGAAGATACACGATATTTTCGCTTCGTGGAAAAGGGAAGTTACTCTTATTTGTTTTGCTTAGAAGCGGAAGTTTACAAATTTCATTAATTTTATGGAAAATACAAATTTTTCAATTAATAATACTAAATTTTGAAGTCTATCTATAGATGACATTGGTAGATTTATGTCAGTATTTTCGTTTTGAGACAGGTAGGTTAAAAATAGAAATATTAGGCCCTAATGATAGCAATGACTGATTGATTGACTGAAAAACAACCACGTTCACGGAACAGGAACCAACTTGAATAACAGTTGTATTTATATCATTGGCTATAAATTATAACATGGACCTTATAAGGTCCATAATTATAATATACTAGTATAATATTAATAATAGAATATGTAAATTTATTTTCAACAGATTTGGTTTATTGTATAATATCATTATGTAACAGATGTTGCCTGAGCAGATTGAAGCCAATTAAAGTGATTGTTGTCAAAAATAAAACCTTACTGTCTGAACTATCGTAAATTTAAAATGGATTTCTTTAATATGTAACAGGCATTGCCTGAGTAGAGCGAAGCTGATTATTGTCAAATATAAAACCTTCAAAATTAATTTTCTCAAGTGATACAAAAAATGTTAAATAATTTAGTTTTTCCAAATTGATTTTCATTTAGATCTAAATTGTATACATTAATTTTGTTTTTTAAAAAAGAACAAAAAAGTGTGAGAATTATTTTCATTGACGTCAAAAATATGTGACGTCATTGATTAGACGCGTCATAGAAATAGTTCTATGAGGCGCGTAATCTCGCTTGGGCGAGATTTGGTAAGTTGACATGCGCATTGGCTGTTTTGCCCAGTGTATCCGGTTCCGGTCTGAATTTTTTTTTTAATCAACAGTCTGTGGGTGACAATTTCAGTTACGCTCCTGTGTTACCGGAAAAGAGCTTTGCTCAAGCACCGCGCTTCGCGCGATGCTGTAGAGCTTCGCTCTCTATTAAAACTACTTAACTTTCGTTATTATAAACTTACCTGTGTGTTTGAAATCAACTCCCGTTAAATAAAATTCATTGCACAACTAATTATCCCAACGAATAAAAATGTTGTCTCTTGAAAAATTGAAATCCCGCAAACTTTTGACATAGAAAAATACCAATGGAAGCTGATTATGTCACTCTTTGGGAGATATCATTTTGTATAATATAAGGGGTGACAGCATAGCAAATCGAAATGGTTTTCGGTACTTTTATGACAACTCAAGTTTGGTTTAAGAATAAGCTATAAGTCTCGGCTCGGCACTGAGTTTGAGCGTTCAAACACATAACTGTTCGTATTCTTTAATTTCGTTATCGTCTTTTACATTCTAGTAAAATCTCTGCAAATTTTATAACTTTACCTTTTGAAATATTTTGTTTTAATTATTTGATTAATGACTCTGACTGGACAATTTTCTTTTGAACACACATGCGGCACAAAAACAATTACATTTGTTTTACGGGCCTTAAATATTACCCATGATTATCTTTAATATGATAAATTAATAACATATTTTTAGTTTATATATGACTTTATTTTTATGAGTATCCGTGCAATTCATTGTGAATAAAATTTGATAGACTGGGGATCAATGGTTACAATATAAATCTCCTATGTAATTGCCTTCAGTTGATATTTTTCGACGCCCAAACTCAATCGATCGTAATGATTGCGCTTTGTTTTCATTGCAACACGTGGTTGTCAAAATTAAACCACCCCCGCAACAGCTACATTGGTTTCGCCCAACACGTGACGAAAGCATTGTTGTCTTCCACTCGGTCGAAAATACAAGCAAATAGTCAAATTTGTCAAGAGAGCACTTTTTTATTTGTTGGGATATTTAGTTGTGCAATGGATTTTATTGAACAGGAGTTGATTTCAAATACTCAGGTAAGTTTATAATAACCAAAGTTAAGTAGTTTGTTCATAATTTGAAAAAATGTTAAATAATTTAGTTTTTCCAAACTGATTTTAATTTAGATTTAAATTGTGTGATTAATTTTGTTTATAAAGAACAAAAAAGTGTGAGTCTATATGTTAACATTTATATGTTAGATGTATTGTAACAACACGTACAGAAAAAATCATTATATAGCCTTACTAATAATATGTTATAGCCTTACTTTATGTTTAATTATGTCACAAGAAAATAAATTAAGCTGTAATTTTATATTCAATCCAACCACAAAACAGAATTATCAAAAATTCCAACAATAGCATGCATAAAAGGAGCTAAATGGCTAATATTTGGGACCTAGAAATTGACCAAAATGGGTTGAAACTTGAAACGCATATGATAATGTAATGTGAATGAATCTGATTTACATTCAATCGTTCACGTTTTTACTCAATTATGTTCCGCGAAATATGCCAGAAGTCTCAATCGAATGGCAACCTCTAGCGTCTGGTTATTCCAGTCTGCATAGATAATATTTATTGCACATGCTCTGCAGTTTTTTTTTTATGTTTACTCAAAGGTGTATGGTTGGCTAAGGAATTACTACACTTAAATGTGAAATGACTTATTTTAAAAAAAAGCAATTGATTACTTAAACCATCTCAACCATTTAAAAGGTGTAGGGATTAAACCAAAAAAAAAAAACCAGTCAGACTTGGGTGAACATATCTTTTAATAATTTTTGATTGTTCATGATTTTAAACTCTAGATATATAATTGATTACTTAAACCATCTCAACCATATGAAAGGTGTAGGGATTAAACTAAAAAAAAACAGTCATACTTTTTTATTGTTCATGATTTTAAACTCAATATATTTGACCTTAAATCTGACTTTTAATTGTTCCTTGAATGATCATAATATAATGACAAGGCAGGCCCTGTTTATAATAAAATAATAATAACTTGAACTGCCACTTTAAACATGATTTGTTATTCTATGAATGAGTGGATGACAGAACACTCTGTACGTTTCTATTGGTTGTTGTGTTAATGACATCACAATGACTGATTGTATAGATAACAATATGTTCACTGATAGTGTATACAATGGATTTTTAAAAATCTTTTCAATTGACTAAATTTATAAAAGTTTAGACATGAATAAGATATTTTTACTCATTGTGATCAAATCCACAAATTTTTATTTGATAAAAGAAATGCCTTCAAATAAATCTGTGGTCTTATAGCTGTAACCTGTAGGTCTTCAATAAACTATAACACATACTTATGGAAAAAACTTATTTATTTGAGCGAAGTTTTGAAGAGTATTCTCTCAACGTTATCAAGCTAATACAGTAATACAAAAATTATGAGGCTAGTTTCTACAGAAAACTATAACAACAATTCCTGAAGATCTACAGTTTTCCTTTTGGGCACTCAGGCTTCTTATTTATTTCTCCCATAACCCAATTTTTGTTTTTTTCAAACATTATTTATTTATTCAGTAAACAACATATCATTATGAGTACTGGTACTGAGAACAGGCTGGTGCTTATATAGATTGGGGGAGTGTGGGGTGGGAGTTGGGGGTGGGGGGAGGAATGGTTAACTTGTTCACCTTGGATCACAAGGTCTGTCATTGAGTCAAGTAGGGTCGCCTGTCCAACCTATGATTGTAATTTTAAAACTATAATTATTTTTCTGTAAATAATTTCTTATGGGAAGTGGGGGGGGGAGAGAGAGAGAGAGGTTTAACGTACACTCAAAACAAATTAGATCATTTCGGGACTAACATATGGTTCAATTTTATTTCAATAATTTGTTTGCGAATTTATATAAAGAGAGACAAATTAGGTCATTTCGGGACTAATATATGGTTCAATTTTATTTCAATAATTTACTTGCATGTAGAGAGGGGTCTTAATTCACTGTAATCCGGAGGACCTGGAGAAAACTCAGGAGATTCGACAGGCAACCCTACTCCTTGTCATGTGCAAGTGGAGAATCAAAACCAGGTCACTTGACTCAGTGACACAAACCCCTGACAAGGAGTAGGGTCGCCTGTCCAACATAGTGGGTTTTCTCCTGGTCCTCTGGTTTCCTCCCACTGCTAAAGACCTCTACGCGCAAGCGAATTATTGAAATAAAATTGAACCATATGTTAGTCCCGAAATGACCTAGTGTTGAGTGGAAATTAAACCCCATTTTCAGTCGTCGTTGTTTGTATTTATTTGGGGGACGCTTCGAAGAGTATTCTCTCAAACTTATCAAGTTTAAAAAACAATGACTACATTTTTTTCTCTCTCTTGTGGACTGAATACACAAAAATTATGTTTGTCATTACTTGATAAAAGTGGGTCTGAAAAGGACAGTGTTTAGTTATTGGTCAGTTGGAATTCAAAATAAAAGTAGCGCCATTGTTTGGGCTAAATCTCCGTCATAGCACACGGTATGACATATGCCCGTTTTAATTATCCCAGTCAGTGAAGAAAAGTAGGACGTTAAACCCCTTTTCATTGATAAAAGTATGTTTAGTGTCCAATAGGTGACCTAATTATGCTCTTGGAAACATATCTTAAACAGTTGACACAGTGCTATATGACCCACTTTATATGATAAGTAAAGATATCAGTATATGTATTTTAGTTTTATTGTCAATGCCTTTAGTTATATCTATTGTATATAATCTAAATTCCTCACCAATTAATCCCCCAATCTCATGTTGAATGATAGAGATAAACAATAAGGTATTGATAATGTTATATAAGACTTTCAATCTATCACTCAATCAATCCGACAGCTTACCACAACTGTCATAATTAACCAACCTTATCAGTTTCAAATTATCCTTATTTTCTTATTCTACTTTATATTTAATGAAGCCTGTATAGATTACTCATATAGAGAGAGAGAAATGGGGTTTAACGTCCACTCGACACAAACTAGGTAATTTCGGGACTAACACTTGGTGACAAGGAGCAGGGTCGCCTGTCCAATCTTGTGTTTTTTCTCCGGGTCCTCCGGTTTCCTCCCACTGCTAAAAACGCCTACGCACGAGCGAATTATTAAAATAAAATTGAACCATATGTTGGTCCCGAAATGACCTAGTTTGTGTCGAGTGGACGTTAAACCCCATTTCTCTCTCTTTCTTTAGTCCTTAAATGTTATAATTTTTAATTAGACATTTATTAACACGACAAGACCGTAATTAACACTCGATGCCATCAGATTTTATAGATTAGAATAATTTAATTTAAAAATGAAGAAGCAAGTCTAAGCCTTGAATATACCAATACAAAACTACAAACAGTGATAACTTTGCTCAAAATAAAGAAATTTGAATGAAATTTTCAATATATTCATTTTACATTATCTATTTTTGAACTATTATATATTATAGCAAGAACGTCCAGCTCTTTATCTAAATCTTACATAATGTACATTTATCTTTAAGTAACTTAAATAAATATATTTTATGTTTTATTAATTATTCACATATGTAAATTATCTGTCCAAAAAGATTTTTTTTCTACGAGCTCTTACTAATACATATTGAATTTGATATCCTTCTGATATTTCCTGTAATTGAAGTGTCGCCATTTGATTGGCTGCTGGGTATACTGTTGGCAGGGTGACAGCTGTTGTGTTTATCTCTGATAGGATTTTATGTTGCCAGAAATATATCATTCACTCAATTGTGAAAAATGATACATATATGAAATCAATTAAAATTGAATGAATTATTTCTCCTTTTTTTGGGTGTGTAAAATTTGTGGTTTTCATACGTCAGCTATAAAGATAATCATTGAGTGACAAAATGGTGTAGCCTGCCATTAAAATTGAAATTTTAAAATATGAAAGGAATGAATATTTTTATATATTGTTTTATGTATGAAATTGCCAGATGTTGTATTCCATTAAATATTAAGTTTTATGGTCTGTCCATGATAGAATATATAAATAGAGGGTTCTAGTGGTCCCAACATTGTGGATTTCTCTGGGTCCTCTGGTTTCCTCCCCTATGCACAAACAGATAATTAATGACATATTTTGTGTCCTGATTTTTTTCTATTGCAAATGCAAAATAAATTTTTTGTTTATACTTGAATATCTGAATTAAATTCAAATATTATTTGATAATAATAAAGGAACAATCAGAGAGAGAAATGGGGTTTAACGTCCCGACAAAAATTAGGTCATTTCGTGACTTAACATGGTTCAATTTTATTTCAATAATTCGCTTGCGTGTAGGGGTCTTGAGCAGTGGGAGGCACCCGGAAAAACCCCACGAGGTTGGACAGACGACACTACACCTACTCTTTGTAACATACAAGCGGAGAATCTTACTATTCATGCGTGTAAGAATCTTTATCAGTGTGAGGAAACCGTAAAAGGTTCGACAGACGACCCTTACTCTTTGTAATATACAAGCGGAGAATCAAAACCACGCCACTTGTCACTGTAGATCTTTCTCTTTATGCAGTGTATGGACCACAAGTACAGATTCAGTACTGTTTTTATCACCTTACTCAATCACCTTGGAGACACATCCAGTCACTAGGACTTACAAACATGTACAAAGATGACAACAACTTCAGACTTATTTTAAAAAATGTATTTGTCGCAGTAAAAAACATACCCCCCCCCCCCAAAAAAAAAATACACAGAAAAGAAAAGATCTATAGGAGAAAACAAACAAATAAATCTGGCTGAAACGTCGTCTTTCTAAAAAATAAAGTGGCCGAAAAGTCCTAGTCTGAAATGTCCACGGGCGAAATGTCCACTGGCCGAAACGTCCTACATTCGCTCTGATTGGGCTAATAAAGACGGGCATTCGCCATGCAGTTTGTTATGACTATGAGCGGATAATATTAAATATTTCCTCCATAGAATTGTTTGTGTTTTATTATGTTATAATGCATTCATTAATTTACACATGGTACATGTATGTATATTTACAGATTGATAATGGTTTGTGGTGTTTGGTGGACAGGAATCATATAATATAACAGTTAAATCAACAATTTGCAAAAATGGATAAACGAAACCGCGCTTCTACGTCTGCCCTATTACAACGAGTTTCAAATCAGTTAAAGGGCGAGAGAGTACCAACAGTAACAAAAGAAGAAGATGAATTAACTGTAAGTTATTATTATGTTGGAAATGAAATGGGATTTAAAGTCCTACCTTACTGCTCCTATGCTGGGCTAATGAAGACGGCCATACAGTGTGCTATGAGGGAAATTTTGCCCTGGCAGCAGCACTATGGCCAACTCTTATATTGAATTCCAACTGTCAAGGGATCTTTTATGTGCATGCCAATTTATACATGGGACCTTGTTTTTTTTGTCCCATCCAAATGACTAGACAGCTGTTCTTGAAATAACAAAGAGGATATATGTAGATAAATTTTGACTGGACAGTGGTGCTACGGTCTACTCTAAAATCAAATTCCAACTGTGAGTGCACGTCAATGTGTAAACAGGAACTAATTTTTTTGTCCAATCCGAACAACTACGTGGTCCTTTGCCAGACCAGCTGTCCTGCATCGTTGACAAGGGGGGAACGACAATGAAAACATCCTGATGAACTTTCTCAGCCCAAACCGGGATCTAACACGGGACCTCCAGGTTTGCGAGCCAACGTCTTACTCGCTGAGCCACTGCAGCTCCTGTTTTTATGCTGGACGCTATGAAGGAGGTGCCGTGGCCAAATGGTCTTACACATGCGCTTAAGATCATAATGTCTGTGATTGAGTCAAGCTCTGAGCTTTCAATCAAGGTTTTCACTTGAGAACTTGACCAGCTGGTCAATTTTTCATGTATTTTGCTTACTTCCGACATGGGGGTTGGATGACCGAATGGTTAGCACGCGCGCACTGTAACATAAAGTCTGTCATTGAGTCAACTGGCGTGGTTTCGAATCCCCGGTTGTATGTGACAAAGAGTAGGGTCGCCTGTCCAACCTCGTGGGTTTTCTCCAGGTCCTCCGGTTTCCTTCCACTGCTAAAGACCCCTACACGCAAGCGAATAATTAAAATAAAATTAAACCATGTGTTAGTCCCGAAATGACCTAGTTTGTGTCGAGTGGACGTTAAACCCCGTTTCTCTCTCTCTCTTTATTCCAATTTATCAACCCTGACCCTAACCCTGGACCTAGCCATAATGCTTACCCTAACCCTAACCTACATTCTCGCCAACAATCATGTGCCGTAACCTTATTTACATCACAGCGACCTTGACGAAAATTGAGCTGGCCTTAACAAATAGATTTAGCCGGATTTAAACATTTTGTCTCTATTTTCCAGGCGTATTTAAATACTGTGAGTAAAAGGACATCTCAACAGGCCAAATCAATAAATTTCAGTGATTACGGGGACATTTCAATATCAAGTTCGGATAATGTTTCAACACCTAAACAGAAATCACCAGCATTTGGTGCTGGAAGCAAATTCTTGAAGAAGAAAGTTGTTGATGAACCAGCCGCTACATCGCAGCCGACTTCTAAACAGACGTCTGGCAGTGCACTAACATCAACGAAGAAATCCCCTGCCGTGACCAATAAAGGAAGAACGAAATCGCCCATTTATTCTCATGTAAATATTAGCGTTGATACGGACACGGATGAAAGTAGAGTCGCTTATATAAATCTACCTGATACGTCGTCTGAACAGAGTGTAGGGCATGATGGGAAGCGGTTCATGAAACGACCAGAAACTCCTAAAGCTACTACTAAATCTGAGAAGACGAATCAGAGTTCTGATAAAAGCAAAGGTAAGCTAATTCGTTTGTTCCTGGTGTTTCAACGTCCACGTCCACCTGGGATGATATCGCAGACAAGGGTAAGCTAACAGTCTGATTTACTTTTATAGGGCTGAGCAGGTTAGTGTATCTAGTCCTATGGATGGGACTAAAAAAGGGTTAAATCCTGTTATTTTTCATTTCATATTGACAGAAGCTCCATATTTGTCAATCTTCCTCCTAGATCGGGGGTGGGGGATGGCTGAATGGTTAGCACCTGCTCGTAGTATCATTAGGTCTGTCATTGAGTCAACTGTGGCATGGTTTCAATTTTCCGGTTGTATGTGACAAGGAGTAGGCTCGCCCGTGCTAAAGACCCCCATGCGCAAGTGATTTATTGAAATAAAATTGAACCATATGTTAGTCCCGAAATGATCTAGTTTGTGTTGAGTGGACGTTAAACCCTCTCTCTCTCTCTCTCTCTCTCTCTCTCTCTCTCATTTTTTTTTTTTTTAAACATACAATATGAAAGAGCTAAATCTGCCTATTGCAGGTCTTTCTTTAGGCCTGAAATGTTATCTAAATTATTGATTAGACATTAATTAAGTTATCCAGACCATAATCAACTCTTGATGCCAATAGTTAAATGTAAAAATGGATAATCAAGACTTTGTTTTTTATTGTACCGATTTTAGTAATGATGACTGAGGCTAGGCCTAAAATTCAAAAGCTAATATCTCAGTTCAGAGTGGAGCAATTTGACTGAAATTTTCAGCATATTCTATTTATATTATCTATTTTTTAACTATTAAAGCGAGAACTGTCAACTCTTTATCTAATGTCCCATAATGCCCCTTTAATTTTAGGTTCTAAAAAAGATAAAAAGAAGAATCAGCAGTTATTATCATCAGAAGAAAGTTTGGCTGATTTCATGCAAAGATTATCATCATCTGAATCTACTCCCAGACCTAAATCAGCTCGATCTTATCAAAGACCGGTAAATATCACTTATACCCTCAAGGTCAAACAATCAAATTTTAATTTGTTGGTGATTTATTGTTGATTATGGTATTAGATATATCATAAAAAAGATATAAACCCCTTTAGCTAATGCCTGTACGTAGCTATCCCTTGTAGCTATCCCCTGAAAGACTTATTGTATACCCACCTCCACTTAATGCCCTGAGGTGAGGCTATATTTCAAAATGTCTGTCTTTGTTAGTACACATGGCATGTTTATGAATAAAATCAAAATAAAATGTAGATAAAAAAAACCTGTAAGTCATATAGCCACTTTGATAATACCCTGAAGCTATTTTTATCAAGTGATTTTTGAAAAATCTTTCTTAAAGATACATTATGTAAGATTTAGATAAAGAACTAGCCATTATTGCTGTAATAGTTTGAAAGAAGATGATGTAAAATGAATAATTTGAAAATTTCATTCAAATTACTCTATTGCAAGCGAAGATATTAGCCTTTGAAGGTTTGACAGACGTGTGCAATAATTTCAACCACCATACTGGTTGATCGAAACTAAGTCTCAGGCCTCCATATTTGATTAAATCAAAGTATCGCTGAACCATTCTAATCTATTTAATATCGGAGAAATCTGATGCCATCGGGAGTTGATTAAGGCCTTGATCATTTCATTAATGTCTAATTAATACTTTAGAAAACATTTCAGGCCTAAAGAAAGACCTACAATAGGCAGATTTAGCTCTTGCATAATGTATGTTTAATATTCATGGCACATTTTTGAAAAGAATCAAAATATAAACTAAATCTTTACACCCATAATAAAAAACTGTTAGAACATATTTAAGAAGTCCATAAAATTAGAACTGTATTAAGATTTGTTGAGATGAGAGTTGCCTGGAATGTGACCGAAGCTGAATGGTTAACGCGTGCGCATTGCTTCATAAGGTCTGACATTGAGTCAAGTGGCGTGGTTTCGATTCCCCACTTGTATGTGACAAGGAGTAGGGTCTCTTGTCCAACCTCATGGGTTATCTCCACGTCCTTCGGTTTCCTTCCACTTCTAAAGACCTCTATGTGGAAGCAAATTATTGAAATAAAATTAAACCATGTTAGTCCTGAAATGACCTAGTTTTTGTCGAGTGCTTGTTAAACCCCATCTCTCTCTCTCTCCCCCTCTCTCTCTCTCCTCTCTCTCTCTCTCTCTCTCTCTCTCTCTCTCTCTCTCTGCCCGTCTCCCTCTCTCAGTTAGCTGACAAAAATAAGGTGTGGTAATCGAGATTAGTTCTTGTTTGAATCACGGTGAACCATATGTTTTAAGGGTCTAAGGGAACTAACTATAAGGGGTTAAGTGACGTGTGAAAAAGGATACCATGTCGGTGAGTTTGTCCTTTAAAATCGAACCACCCAGTTCAAATATTCTGATTGTACATCGTTTAAATGTTCGTAAAACTCTGCAATAAACATTGTCTCGAACAGTTCTTTTTAAATTTGAGTTCCTTAAACTTTAAAGTTACAATTTCATATTTTTAAGTTATATTTTTAAAATGTATTAAAATAAAGCCCTAAAATAGATGGTATCTATAAACCGTCCTACCTTGTTAAAGAATAATCCTATTAATCCTATAATTCACTCTTGCCAGTTGAGAAATTGGCAAAATTATCATTTTCAACTTCAAATTCAAACGTTTGAAGATAGCTATTCCATGGTAGAGAATAGGAAAACAAGGGAGGTAATTGTGTTATTATTTCCGGCGTGAAGATTTTTAAGTGTGAGAAAGATAACCTATGATCATATAATAGTGAGTTGACAACCTATTGAGCAAAAGACATAGAAATAATTATGTTTTGACTTTCTTACAAAATATGAAATTGTGACAATTTTACTTATCTTTTAATCTATCTGTACAAAATAAAAGGATTTTCCAAAAAAAATTTTATATCATCTATAATTTACAGGCTGATGGTGCTCCACCCAAACCACGATCTCCTTCACCAGAAGGAAAACCATACCGATTTTCACCGAGTCCTAGAACACCAAGAAAGAGTGGTTCACCTAAAGTAGGTAGACGAACTCCTTCACCTCTGGCCTTGCATTCTCGTTCCCAATCTCAGGACTCTGATATGATCGAATCTATTGTTAGTGAGGTTGTCGAGACACCAGACACAGCCAGTTCAGAAGAATTGTTCAAAGGTTTGTATTTCATGTTTTCTGTTAAAACTGTTGGGAAATAAAATCTTCTGATCAATCTAATTAAAACACAGATCCTATTTCGTTTCGTTTTTTATAGTTCAAATTTCATTTTACTTGTCTTTACTAACCTAGGTTCTGGAATAGTTGTTATCACTGACATGTTCTGAATGATGTGAGGAATCAGCCAATGAAACAGTCTGTTGCATCAAATTCTTGGCATGTGATGCACGGAACTGTGGGTATCCTACTAGAAACATCAACGCTGATTGGTTAATCAAATGTCTAACATCATAGCGTCAAAAGCCGCTTGTATGACCCATAACGCGACCTTCCACTATAAATCGTCAGATCTTCATGTAGTAGAGGCCATCGAAATTATAAAAAAACGAAACTAAATATAGATGTATATTTTAATCAGATTGTCTTTTAACCAACATTTTCTTTAGTAAGAATTTAGTAAGTGAGTAGGACGCTGGCTCGCTAGCCTGGAGGTCGCGGGTTCGATCCCAGTGTTGGCTGAGAAAGTTTATCTGAATTTTCCGGCGTGGTTTACTCTTTGTTAGTGGTGTAGGATGGGGAATCTAACACATTGGTGTGCATGTAAAAGATCCCTTGGCAGTCAGAATTTGATATTAGAGTAGGCCTTAACGCCACTGTCCAGGAAAATTTCCCTCATAGCACACTGTATGACATATGCCCGTCTTCATAAGCCCAGTTCGGAGCAAAACAGTAGGACGTTAAACTCCATTTCATTTCCTTTATTTAATTGATGGGGAGTTGGATGGTCGAATGGTTATTGTGCGTGTTGTATCATAATGTCTGTCATTGAGTCACCTGGCGTGGTTTTGATTCCCCTGTTGTACGGGACAAGGAGTAGGGACATCTGCCCAACCTCGTGTACCTACGTTATTCATATTTTTAAAAAAAAAAACGTGTTACCCTGGCAACAACTTTTTTTTTTAATGTTAGTTTTCCCTTGTTTATTACATTTCCTAACTACTTGTGCCATTTTCTATAGCTTTAGAATTTGAGAAAACATTTTTCGGGTAGCCTCACCCCTTAACTGATCCAGGCCATGATCCAGGCCATAATCAACTCTCGATGGAATTGGATTTCTCTTTCTCTTATTTATCTGTGTTATTTTTCTTACTAGTTGTAATGGACATTGATGCATTGGAACCAGCATTGCCAGTCAAAAAAGAAAGAGACACAGCCAGACAATCACGAAACAAAGCCAAAGAACAAAAGAAAAAGAGTCCAAAAGAAGCAAAGAAGAAGAGTACCAAACCGATTGAAAGTGACGTGTTTAGTAGTTTTGGTTTACAAACTGTCGAAGATTTAATGGGTAATTTCTCGGATGGAATGGACGAAAGTATTGCCAGTGAAATATCGGAAGTGAGGTTCGAAAGACAGGACAGTGGTCGTAAAGTCCAGAGAAAAGAGTCGTTATCTGAGATAAGAACTTTTGGTTCAGGTGCAACTTCTCGAAAAAACGTTTCTTTATCCCACACTCAGGAAATCGATGATTCTATCTCCGAGAGAATAGGGGTCAGCAGTCGACAGGATAAATCGTCGATTGCTTCGGAAGTTAAAACACAATATAGTGATGAAACTGACGTCGAATATACGGAAGGTTTTGAAAGTGAACCAGAAAGTATCACTGAATCTCAATCTATTCGAGGAAACAAAAAACAGAGTAAAAAAGAAGCAGATGATAAAAGTTATAGCGAGAGTTATACTTCTTTTTCTGATTCCAGAACTTATTCTAGAAGGTATTTATCTATAAAATAAAACATTCTATAGGCTGAGAAAAGGGGATTATTCTAAAAAAAACGTTCTTTAGGCTCAGAAAAGGGTATCATTCTAAAAATTATATTCTATAGGCTGAGAAAAAGGTATCGTTCTAAAAAGCATTTTATAGGCTTTTTTAACAAAAAAAAACATTCTATAGGCTCAGAAAAGGGTATCATTCTTTTAAAAAAGCTTTCTATAGGCTGAGAAAAGGATATTCTTTTAAAAAAGCATTTCATAGGCTGAGAAAAGCGTATCATTTTTAAAAAAAAAAAATACCAACATTCTCTGGGCTCAGAAAAGGGTATCATTCTATAAAAAATAAAATTCTTTAGGCTTAGAAAAATAAAAAACAAGACAATTTTACAAAATTTTAAGAGATGCAACTTTCGTTCTCCAACTAACTTTATGGCTACACATGACCGTAATCATCATAAATCTTGAAAAAGATGGTCCAACTATTTCTGTAAATAAATAGCCATTAGGAAACAGCTTTTAAAGGTCTTAAATTTCTGAAATAATGCAAGTAATTGTGTCAACATATCCTTTCCATAATGTCAATGTTACCTGCCACAGGTAAATTTCAATGTTAGTAATTTCCGCGAGCGGCGAGGGGACAGGCCCCTTGTATTGAAAAGGTTAAGTTTGATCAGTCTGATTAAAATACACATTTGTATTTTGTTTCGTTTTTTTATAATTTCAATGGCCTACACTACATAAAGATCTGATCGGTTGTAATGGAAAGTCGCGTCATGGGTCGTATGATCGGCTTTTGACCCTATGACGTCAAACATTTGATTAACCAATCAGCATTGATGTTTCTAGTAGAATACCCACAGTTCTGTGCATCGCATGCCAAAAACTCGCCATAACAAACTGTCTCATTAGCTAATCCCTCACGTCAACCAAAACGCAGATTATATAACAACTCTTCCAGATCCTAGTGTAGTAAAGACAAATAAAACGAAATTTTGAACTATAAAAAACAAAATGAAATAGGATCTGTGTTTTAATCAGCTTGCCAGAATATTGTTTTAAATGAAATTTCGTTATCTTGTTTTTCAGTTATACTCAATCTAGTCGACCTCAGTCACCAATTAAACGCCGTCCAAATACTAGAAATATCAGTGTGCAGACGGGCGAAGATCCGGGATTATCTTACAGATGGAAGGTACCAATGGCTACTGTCGGACCTAGTTATGGTTTGGATTTTGTGGATCCGTCACCTATAGCAACCCATGTTATTAGTCCAGATGCGCTTGAAGGTAATTTTTGATACTCCTACATTGAAACGTTGTCGTATATTGTCGTCCAGATGCGCTTGAAGGTAATTTTTGATACTCCTACATTGAAACGTTGTTGTATATTGTCGTCATACCTGTCTTTTTGTTAGTCCCCTGTCTAGAGGCTAAAGTTTACATCCAATTGACATTAAATTCATAAACAGTCTTCAAATTCATGAGATGAAGAAGCCTGTTTTTCACAATTTCTGATGATTCCCATTTGGATTAATTATGTAAAATCATATGGACAACCATGAGGCCAAAATTTTCATCCAATTGTCTTGACATATATTAGCAACGAAGAAGCCTATTGATTTTCAAATTGAACTGCTAGGAAGAAGCCATCCTATTTTTAATTATTTCTGATAGTTATTTCCTCGGTTGTGGCCCTTGAGCAGTTTTTAGTGTATTGTAAATGTACTCCTTACCTACAAAAGAAAACAGAAATGCAGTAGCTATTATAGACCGCTTGGACAACTTATTGAGTCGCTTGTCATACCAATGTCTTTAACTAGCATTTACAGGCATTGATTGATAATACGGTTATAACAGTTTGAGCAACCTTAAAGATACATTATGGGAGATTAGATAAAGAGCTGGCAGTTCTCACTATAATAGTTAAAAACTAGATAATGTAAAGGCAATTTGCTGAATATTGCTCCACTGTGAACCACAAATTTAGCGATTGAATTTTAGGCCTAGCTTCAATCATGATTACTAAACTCGGTACGATAAAAAACATAGTCTTAATTATCCATTTTTTGATTTAATCATCAATGAGCGTTGAGCAGCAGATCGGATTCAAATCCACTAAATATCGCAGTCTAATGATGACATCGAGAGTTGATTATGGTCCGAATAAGTTAATTAATGTCTAATTAATAATTTAGATAACATTTCAGGTCTAAAGAAAGACCTGCAATAGGCAGATTTACCTCTTGCATAATGTATGTTTAAATAATAATGTATGTTTAAGCTAGATCTGTATAACTTTGAGCTATTTATGATATATGTTATATATTTGTAGCTATGACAGCGTACAGTCCAGCTATGATAGCTCTCCATGATATGTTAAAACAACAACTGATGTTAACACAAAGTTTCCTCAGTGCTCAAGAAAGAATCTACGCTGCATACAATACGTCTTTAGATACTAATTACCATTACACTACACTAGAAGATACAAAACAGGTAACTTTTTATGTTTAGTGGGATTAATTTCCTAATCTGATTAAAATCCAGGTAACTTTTTATGTTTCGTGGGTTTTATTTGATACACGTTCTATTTTAGTCATTTATTTCCCAATCCGATTAAAATAGAGATCTATATTTGAAATTTCGTTTCGTTTTTTGTCCCCCACCTCTCTTTCTAATTGAGCTAGAATGTTCAAACTTGGTGTAGGTGTTTATTAGGTTGATGCCTTGAAAGAGTTCGAAGATGAGCATTTTCTGCTAAGCGTAAACAGAGATAAGCAATTTGATCGGTTGATGCTTTTGGACACAATAATTTTAGTTCTAATTAAGTGAGAGTGATGATTGCTCAATACTTTTGAAAAAAAAATAAATGTGCTATTAATTAATACGTGTCATCTATTTATTTTGGGATTTCGGCAGGGGACATCAGCCTCACTGTTGGCTTGTTTATACTTACGATGACCTACACTAGATGAAGATCTGACTGATTGTAGTGGAAGGTCATGTCAGAGGTCATACGAGCGGCTTTTGACACTATTAGGTCAAACATTTGATTAACCAATCATCGTTGATGTTTCTAGTGGGTTACCCACAGTTCCTTGCACCTCACACCAAAAATTTGCCGTAACAGACCGTTTCATTGGTTTATCCCTCATATCATCCAGTGTAGTAAAGACAAGTAAAACGAAATTTTGAATTATAAACAATGAAACGAAATAGGATCTGTCTTTTAATCAGATTGTTAATTTCCCAAGTTCCCATCTGAAAAGAACCATGGGAATTTTTAAACTTGGCTGTGTGGCTGACAAGGGACGAAGAAACCAAAGTCCACCCGTAATGACGTTTGAGTGAACATAATGTACCCAATTGAGCAAACCTGCCATGATTTTTTTTAAAGGGAGATAATTTTGCACATTGTTTAGAATTTCTGATATTTGACGTTTTTTTTTCCTCACCTTTCGAAGAAAGCAGAGGACTATTAAAATGGGTCTGGCTGTCTGTCACACTTTTTGGAATACACACAATCACTGTCCCTCTAATTGAGCTAGAATGTTCAACCTTGGTGTAGATGTTTATTGGCTAAGTAGCGATAAGCAATTTGATTGGTAAAGACTTTGGAACATAGCAACTCTGCTTTTAATTTAGGTAGAATGTTTAAACTTGATGTAGATGTTCATTACGTGAATGTCTTGACTGAGTTCAATGATTAACATTTCCCGCTAAAGCAGAGCTAAGCAATTTCATTGGTCGAATGCTTTGGGACAAGATAGCTTTGATTATAACTGATGGAGAGTGATAAAACTTAGTATATAGTTTCACTACCAGGTATTTCAAAACCTGGACTGATCATGTCACTACCAGGTACTTCAAAACCCGGACTGAGTTTGATCGTGAACATTTTATGCTTAGACTAAGTATAGATAATCAGTTTGATTGCTCAATACTTTTTCCAAAAGATAGATAAATGTGCAATTAATTAATATGTTTCGTCTTGGGACTTTGGCGGCAGACATCAGCCTCACTGTCGGCTTGATTTGATCCACATCAATATCGTGATATAAAACAGTTTTATTTCTTCGACATCGGCAGTAGTAAATTATCAATTATTCATTTAGCCTTTTGTGTATTGGGATTTCGGCAGGAGATATCAGCCTCACTGTTGGCTTGTTTATCCTTTTGTCTATTGGGATTTCGTCAGGAGACATCAGCCTCACTGTTGGCTTGTTTATCCTTTTGTCTATTGGGATTTCGGCAGGAGACATCGGCCTCACTGTTGACTTGTTACTTATATTGTTTATTGTTTTGTTTTTTCAGTATATCAAACAACATAGAAAAAAACCTCTTACTTTTAAACAAGCCTTGAAAATGGTGACGGCAGAGATGAATAACTAGTTGAACGATTTATTATCTCATAACACCTCTGTTTAATACGTCTTACACTGGATTGAGTTTATTAAACATACAGGGGGGTTGGATGGCCAAATGGTTAATACGTGCGCGCTATATCATACGGTCTGTCATTGAGTCAACTAGCGGGGTTTCGATTTCTTGGTTGTACGTGACAAGGAGTACAGTAGCCTGTCCAACCTCGTGGGTTTTCTCCGGGTCCTCCGGTTTCCGCCCACTACGAAAGACCCCTACACGCAAGCGAATTATTGAAATTAAATTGAACCATGTGGTAGTCCATAAATGACCTAATTTGTGTCGAGTGGACGTTAAACATTATGCAAGAGCTAAATTTGCCTATTGCAAGTCTTTATTTAGGCTTCAGATGTTATAGAAATTATTAGTTAGATCTTTATTTACATGACAAGTTCAAAATCACCTCTGTAGACCCTCGGGTGGCTTAGATACAGCTTTTTTTTTTAAACAGTCGTCCATTTAATAATTATATTAATAAATGGCTGACCAAGCTAACCTTTACCGTTAGTCACTACTGGAGACTGCCGATGAAAGGTCTGCCAATCGAGAGTACCATAGTTATTGAGAATTTTACTTGATAATCGAGAATATGTGGGTGGAGTTATCATCTGTCAATCAAATGATCGGAGAGAGAGAGAGACTCGACACAAACTAGGTCATTTCGGGACTAACATATGGTTCAATTTTACTTCAATAAGGACCCGGAGAAAATCCACAAGGTTGGACAGGCCTCCTCCTTGTCACGTACAACCGGGGAATCGAAACCACGCCAGTTTACGCAATGACAGACCTTATACAGCGTGCGCTAGCCATTTGGCCATCCACCCCCCCCGTGAATTTAGCAGAGACATCTATCTAGTGGGTGTATTGGGGTCTAATAATCCCATCTGTATTCAATAATAAAGTGTTCAACAGAGCTGTACATTCCTAACTGTGATTTAAATATTAACTATTTATTTTTTATTTATATACTATGTATTTATTTATATATTTTGTACCTAGATTAAAAATGTTAAACTTATTTTGTCGTTCACCTCATTTCTTGAAAGGATGTAACAGAATATCGGAATGATGAACTGTCATAATAACGGACAATCGCGCTAACATATTACGGGGTGTTTAACTGTCCATCAAAAAACAAGGAATACAGGGAAAGCTTGATTATTGGACCGTCTGCTAAGGAACCATCAGAATAATGAAATGAAATGGGGTTTAACGTCCTACTGTTTTGCCCTGACTGGGCTAATGAACACGGGCTTACGCCATACAGTGTGCTATGAGAGAAATTTTGCCCGGACAGCGGCGCAATGGCCTACTATTATATCTAATTCCAACTGCCAAGGGATCTTTTAAAGGACAATATTGGTGCCAGTCATTATCACATATGTGATAGAGCTGGTTAAACACATTCCAAATATAATTTTAACACAGAGATCATTGCTACGATAGCTGAGTAATACAGTTTGTCTGAATCGGAAGTGACGAACGCCAAAGGAAAGCACGAGTCGCCTCTCTATATAACTGACTGATGTGACAAATGATAACGGATATACGGGCGAATTTCTGCTCACTAATAATTCCTTTGTACTATCCAAATGACTAGACAGCTGTCCTTGTCAAGCCTTTCGTCCTGCATCACTGAAAAGGGGAAATCCTGATGAACTTTCTCGCCCAATGCAGGGATCGAACCCACGACCTCCAGGCTAGCGAGCAAGCGTCTTCCCTTCAGAATAATGAGAGGACATATTTACAGATCGTCACCAGACCCCGTATCAATTTGTCTTACCAAGGGAAAAACGGGCAGAAAGATTTACGGACTTTTTAACTGGTATATGAAACATGTGAGCCAACAGGACATCGGAATGATGGGAATAACGGAACGTTCAATCATTGAACTGTCATAACAGGCATCTTCAATAGAAGGCTTGATCTCGCTTTAACTACTACATCATATCAAGGCCTTCGCGTAACACCCTGCATATTTTGGCACTAATTGCGATTGGGTACAAGCCCAACTTGTGAGCCAATCAGATTCCTTGAGCTTTCAAGCTAAAATGTCTACCTATGATAATCAAGTTGCAAAGTTCAAGGTTCATTCAATGTCAAGGTTTCCATGGAGGTCACGATGTCACAACCTCTGATTGGACGCTACTGCTCATGTGTCTGTAGATAACATAACTATAAGTTCGGGAATTGTGAAGTAAACAAGCAACGCAGTCGTTGCTTCATGAACATGCATAATGGGGAGGATTGGGAATAACTTACTATCAGATTTACAGACTGTCCAAACCCTTATCGAGTGAACAGGCTATCATTCTATGAATAAAAATAACATGTTGGCCAAATAAAGCTCCGACCACTATGAACACTATTATTATTATTATTAAAGATACATTCCCACGTACAAACTGGGTGATTTGACGATATATTTGGACTAAAAACATTCAAACTTTTCATAAAGTTTATCAACATGTACATCAAGTGCTCAATCTCCGCGTGCAACCTTTGACGTCACACATGCAGATATTCCTAATCGTCAGGCTGTTGATTAGGGGAACCCATACATTTTTGTCCTGTATACGCTCGATGAGTGTTTTTCAGGGAATCCAGTATTTTTCTAGTAAGATTGAATATTTTTACTTTCCATATATACCAAAATTTTATTGGAAATAACCACCCGATAAATACTTTTCTGGGAACGTATCTTTAAGTGGAGTGTTGGGGAGGAAGTTTAATGGATAGAAAGTCATCTTAATTACTTGATATTTGAGTAAATAAACGAGGGCCATCTAGGGAGAGAGAGAGAGAAATGGGGTTTAACGTCCACTCGACACAAACTAGGTCATTTCGGACTAACATGGTTTTTAATTTTATTTCAATAATTCATTTGTCCCTGGGGGTCTATAGCAGCGGGAGGAAACCGGAGAAAACCCATGAGGTTGGACAGGTGATCCTACTCCCTGTCACGTCGGCCATCTCAGAGGAACTGTTTTACAACATAATGAAAACTAAATAGATACTGAACAAATCTGCTGAAATTTGGTGTGCAGCCATAATTTACCTCTCTAAACATCACCTCCCTGTCTTTCATTTGATTTTCATTTGATTTGAGGGATCACTCGGGCCATTGGCTTCAAGAATACAGAGAGGGAGATGGGGTTTAACATCCAGTTGATTTCGGGACTAACATATAGTTAAATTTTACTTCAATAATTTGCTTGCGCGTAGGGGTCTTTAGCAGTGGGAGCAAACCGGGGGACCTGGAGAAAACCAACAAGCTTGGACAGGCAACTGTACTCCTTGTCACATACAACTGAGGAATCGAAACCACGCCAGTTGACTCAATGACAGACTTTATGATACAGCGCGCACATGCTAACCATTCAGCCATCCAACCCCCTCAGGAATACGTTCGAGATGGGAACTTGAACGGAAGTGTAAATAAGAAATGAAATGGTGTTTAACGTCCTACTGTTCTACTCCAAACTGGGCTAATAAAGACAGGCATACGCCATACAGTGTGCAATGAGGTAAATTTTGCCCGGACAGCAGCAGCACTACGGCATATTCTTATATCAAATTCCAACTGTCAAGGAATCTTATGTGTACACGGGACCTCAGTTTTCCGTCCCATCTGAACGACTAGACAGCTGTCCTTGTCAGGGAAGTGTAAATAAGAAAAATAACAAATGATATTTTGTCAACAACACTTTACTATAAAGGTTGGTGAATACAGTTGGTTTGGGTGTACACGTAAAAACACAATTATTTACAAACTGATACAGTTATACCTATCTGATTATAATACAGATCTATATGTCGTTTCGTTTTATTTATACTTCGATGGCCTCCACACGAAGATCTGACCAGTTGTACTGGAAGGTCATGTCAGGGGTCGTACCACCATTTTTTGACCCTATGACATCAGATATTGATTAATCAATCAGCGTTGATGTTTCTAGTGGTTTACCCACAGCAGTTCTGACCAGTTGTACTGGAAGGTCACATCAGAGGTCGTACAAGCGGCTTTTGACCCTGTGACATCAGATATTGATTTATCAATCCGTGTTGATGTTTTTAGTGGTTTACCCACGCACAGTTCCATGCATTGCACGCCAAGAAGTCGCCTTAACAGATGGTTTCGTTGGCTAATCCCTCACGCCATCCAGAACTCAGGTTAAATAACAACACTTCCAGATCCTAGTGTAGTTAAGACAAGTTAAATGCAATTTTAAACGATAAAAAACGAAACGAAATAGGATCTGTGTTTTGATCAGATTGCAGTTATACCTAGGTACACATGTCTTTTGCAAAATAAATTTAGCACCCTTTTAGGGCGATATATATACAATTATTTATTTATTTATTTTTATATACAAACATGCGCATCCATATACACCACGTTTATCAATCAAATATCTCAGACAACAAAATCTTATAATTTTAACCCTTTGACAGGGGAGATCAACATTTTTTTTTACGCCCAGAATTCGTGGGGAAAGCAACATAAAGTTATATTTGGCATGTGACCCATCAAACATTAAAGCTTTTTTTTAATTCTAGAAATAAGTCTGGAAATATGACAGCTATCACAGACAAATTCAGAATATCAGGAATAAAATCTGTTTGCTGCAGGTCATTTGTGACGCCAATTTGTTTCACAGAGATCTTTTAATATCTCTGTTACAAATGACTGTTTCGACACGTGACTGTCACATCACGCGGCGTCAATCATTGGCTCAATAGCGCGTGCATTGTTTACAAAAGACGTTACTGATTCGGGCTAAATGGTGAATTTTACTTATTTTAATACCCATTTACACTAAATAGGAAATGATCTTTACCTACAAACAATTCAAACGTCTTTATTTATTTTTCTAATAAATGAAAAAAAAATGTTTTAGAATTTAATTTGAAGGAAGAAAAAAGTTAATATTTGGGACTCATTCAGTCGCATCGATGTCATCCTTATCATTGATTCTAGCGGCCTAGCAAAAATTCACTGCTGATCAGTGTGTTGTGACGCATCACGTCGAAATGCGTAGTAACGACAACACATGCTTTTGTAGGAATATTACTGACATAAATTTGAATAAAGCATAGGAATTAAATATGAAAAATAACGAGGTGCACCTATATTTTTTTACATTGTGGTCTAAAACCGCAAGCATAATTGACGTTAAGAGTTATGCCCCTTTATTTTCGGTAAAAATCTGCTACAAGAAAATTTTTGAAATCCCAACGTGACTAGTAAGTAGCAATTTGGCTGAGATATCGCTAAATATATCCAGGTCAATCGGATAAAACAGGGAGGGAGAGAGAGAGAGAGAGAGAGAGAGAGAAGGGGTTTAACGTCCACTCCACTCGACACAAACTATGTCATTTCCCCCGGGGAATCGAAAACCACGCCAGTTGACTCAATAACAGACCTTATGATACAACGTGCACACACTAATCATTTGGCCATCCAACCCCAACCCCACCCCACACGTCTCCAAAGTGTAATACCGTGTTTATGTTGATTCATGATATTTTAATAGCGTAATGTTTTAAAGAAATATAAATTCTATGTCCAATCTTTGTAAAGCGCCTTAAAGCAGCCATTGGCTGGATTTTGTTGCGCTGTATCAATGAATAAATTTAACTATAATGTTAAAGGGGCATTATGGGGGATTAGATAAAGAGTTGAGAGTTCTCACTATAATAGTTAAAAACTAGATAATGAAAAAGGGAATATACTTGCGCGTAGGGGTCTTTAGTAGTGGGAGGAAACTGGAGGACCCGGAGAAAACCCATGAGATTGGACAGGCGACCCTACTCCTTGTCACGTAAAACCAGGTATTCAATGTCTTAAGTACGAGACAATTAAACAACTTAAAATACAGACACTCGCACATGCTTTTCAATTAAATACGTCACGCAGGTCCAAAATTTAAACTAGTATAATAAATGTACGCTTGGGGCGTTGGCTAAACCATTATTTCAAATAAAGGTGCACCAACATCAAAGGATGACATGACGTTTGTATTTTAAATACAAATAATGCTCACAACCACTGCTTTATCAATATATTTTTTATCATATGGCACCGAATATTTTTACATATCAGTAAAATACCCCGAAACAAATAATTTCATGGCTTTGTAAAACAGGAACTTATTCATAAAAACATCAATATTTGAAGAAAGCAGCTTTTTCATTGGTCAAGAGTTAAAATTTGTATTAAGATTTTAACCCCCAACCAATTAAAAAGCTTCACTGTAATCAGAGTATTATTTAAACTTGTGCAGTTAGCATTAATTTCTATCGCATTCATTCAATGTCAAATCTTCATTTAAATTCGTAAAAATCGTTTAAAATCACCAAAAATTATCTAATTTGTACTTGTGTCCAGTTTAAAGCTGACTGATTAATTTTGATAATGAGTGTCCAATTTACAAGTGTTTAATTTTTCAATCACTGTTAAAAAATAAATAACCAATTGATTATTGATGTATAATGATTAATTTTTGAACAGTGATCAGGAAATTAAATACTAGTAAATTGGACACTCATTAGCAAAATTAATCGGTCAGCTTTAAACTGGACACAAGTACAAATTAGATGATATTGGGGTATTTTTAATGATTTGATATTGAATGAATATGAAAGAATTTAGTGCTAGATACACAAGATTAAATGATACCTGAGTTACAGTGCTGCATCCTTAAAATGTCTTCAGTTCTCATGATTTCAAGGCCTCAGGAACATAAAAGAAAGTTTCAAAGTCAAGATATAAATAATCTGATGAAAATACAGATGTATATTTCGTTTTTTTTTTATACTTTCGATGGCCTCCACTACATAAGATCTGACTGGTTGTAGTGGAAGGTCCGTCAGAGGTCATACAAGCAGCTTTTGACCCTATGACGTCAGACATTTGATTTAATCAATCAGCGTTGATGTTTCTAGTGGGTTATCCACAGTTCTGTGCACCCCACGCCAAAAACTTGCTGTAACAGACTGTTTTATTGGCTAATCCCTCACATCAACCAGAACCCCGGTAATATAACAACTCTTCCAGATCCTAGTGTAGTAAAGACAAGTGAAACAAAATTTAGAAATATGAAAAACGAACCGAAATAGGATCTGTGTTTTAATCTGATTGAGATTTTAACACATTCATTTGTGATATAAATAAACTCCACATAAATTCATGACATTTATTATAAGGGAAAATGAAATGGGGGTTTAACGTCCTACTTTTCTGCAGCAACTGGGCTAATGAAGAGAGAGAGAGTGAGAGAGAGATAGGTTATTTCGGGACTAACATATAGTTCAGTCTTCTTTCAATAATTCACTTGCGCGTAGGCATCTTTAGCAGTGGGAGGAAACCGAAGGACCTGGAATGTCCCTACTCCTTGTCAGGTACAACCGGGGAATCGAAACCACGCCAGCTGACTCAATTATAGACCTTATGATACATGGCGCATGAGAACCATTCGGCCATCCAACTCCCCAATGAAAAGAGAGAGAGAGAGAGAGAATGAGAGAGAGAGAGAGAGAGAGAGAGAGAGAGAGAGAGGCAAACTAGGTCATTTCAGGAATAACATATAGTTCAATTTTATTTCAATAATTCGCTTCTGCATAGGGGTCTTTAGCAGTGGGAGGAAACCGGAAGACCCAGAGAAAACCCATGTGGTTGGACAGGTGACCCTACTCCTTGTCACTTGGGGCATACGCCCATCTTCATTAGCTCAGTCAAACAGAACAGTAAGACGTTAAACCCCATTTCATTTCATTATTGCTATGAATTTTTAATATCATAAAAACAAAAGGAAGAATATTGACCAGATCATGAAATTATTCAAACTTATCCCTGATATCGATACTTAACCTCCCATATTATTTAAACATACATTATGTAAGATTTAGATAAAGAGCTGGCCTTTCTTGTTATAATAGTCCAAAAATAGATAATAATGTAAAATTAATAATTAAAAAATTTCATTCAAATTACTCTATTGCGAGCAAAGATATTAACCTTGACAAGACGTGTGCAATAATTTCAACCACCATATTGGTTGTTCGAATCCAAGTCTCGATCCTCCATTTTTAAATTAAATCAAAATATGGCTGAATCGTTCTAATCTATTTAATATCGGAGAAACTTGATGCCACCGAGAGTTGATTATGGTCTGGATAAGTTAATTAATGTCTAATTAATAATTTAGATACCATTTCAGGCCTAAAGAAAGACCTTCAATAGGCAGATTTAGCTCTTGGATAATGTATGTTTAATTCAACCCTTGTCATAAAAATAAACATTATACCTAAATACAATATAAACTAATGTCTGTACCACTTAAATTACAAAACACAATTTTGTTGATGCTCTTTGAAGCCACTAATCAGACCATTGTCATTTATAAAAATCTGGATTTCAATTGGTTTATCTACAACCATCGTCAATAGACTTAGTCTCTATCATCCAGAACAATATTCTACAAATATTAGTCTGGATGCGTTGTCAACATTTGAGATAAACAGGTCATTGGCTAGATTATCCGGTCTTTTACATATCATAAACAAAGGGAGGTAACTAGTCCTAAAACAAGATGAAATTAATTTAAGAATGTCATTTCAGAAAATCCATTTGATTGCATTGCCAGTTCAATATCCAATTTTTTTTATTGTAAAATTTCTCTCTTCATGTGCCATATCTATGGTTTTTTTTATTAATCCTAATTCACCGTCCCGATTCATGTTTGTTTATATTAATGCAAGAAATAACAGGTTTATTGTGGTAAGGGGCGCAACTCTTACTTGACTTGGCCAAAGATACTGGATAATCAACCACATAAAAAAAAACCTCCTGGTTATGCACAGGAAGGGAACTTTTCGTCAAATATTGACAACGGCCCCAGACCCTCTGTACGTTGAAGACTAGGAAGTTCTGGGTGACCGAGACTATAATAGACTTCGTTTTAACCCTGTACATGTTTTGTTATAAAATTTGCGTTCGTTGCTTCAGGAACGAGATCTACAACCTGTAATTACCTCATGCTTTTTGCGACTTATTTCTGTCCCAATTTTGAGAATATTTTGGCTCTTTTTTGTTTTTTAAAAAAATACTAGTAAATATAGAAGCCATGTTTGTCAGAGAGTGAGAGAGAAAAACAGGATTTTGGGACTAACATATAGTATTTATAGTTTTATTTTAATAAGTCACTTACATGTTGTAGTCTTTAGCAGTGGAAGTAAACTATAGTACCCATAGGAAACCCACAAGGTTAGGCAGGTGACTGTACGTCTTTCCAAGTATTAACCCTGAATCAAACCCTTGTCTTGCATAGATAACAACTCTTACGATATTTCCTCCACCGAAACCCACTTATAATGTTGGAATATAAAATAGACAGTGTGCGATTAGAAATTGTGTTTTGGAATTCGTGGTGCTCAGGGGTGCACAACAGGGGTGGGGGGCAACTTTTTTGCCGAGTTTTTTTCAAGTAATGTTCCGGTTGCCGGAGTCTATTACACATTCAATCAAACTAAAATGAGACCTACAAATCAATATTCAATTGAGTCATTTAAAAATTACGATTTTTTGATGGTGCACCTCCCCTGGGGAAAATAAGTTTGTGTGCCCCTGTAGGTGGTGATGACATTAGTAATAGGGGACCGTAACAAAACTGTATATAAATTAACATTCAATAATATTTAAATAAATAGTTAACAAAATTATATAACTACTGAGAAATAAATATAATGAAACAGGACGCACTTTTCACAGGTACTCAAATTCCAAAGCGTTCAATTGAGTATTCCCCTACGTGTAATAAAGTTTACATTTTTATGGGATTGCAAATAAATTTCAAGGCATATTCTATCTACTACTGTCTGAACCTTCATAAATTTTAAAAAGAGAGGGTAAAATTGTAGTTGTGTGGTCACTATATTAGTTTACGTTTTCATGAAAAACATTCTGATCAAAATACAGATTTATATTTCATTTCGTTTTTTTATACTTTCAATGGCCTCTGCTATATGAAGATCTGACCGACTAATCCCTCACATCATCCAGAACACAGGTTATATAACAACTCTTCCAGATCCTAGTGTAGTAAAGACAATTATGAATTATAAAAAACGAAACGAAATAGGATCTGTGTTTTCATCAGATTGCATGAATAAGGTCTCTGATTTCTACCCAAGTATTGAAAACCGTTAACAAGAACATTGAAAGTTGAAAATATTTCAGATAAATGCAAAACAAGTTATAACAAAACCAACTCTACCTATGGCAGTAATGTTCATTTAAAAGTACAAAACCTCTTTGATTTAAGCAAAATTAAAGGAGAAATCCGAGATATATTTTTGTGGAGAGAGAGAGAGAGAGAGAGAGAGAGAGAGAGAGAGAGAGAGAGAGAGAGATGGGGTTTAACCTCCATTCCACACAATCTATGTCATTTCGGGACTAACACATGGTTCAATTTTATTTCAATAATTCGCTTGCGCATAGGGGTCTTCAGCAGTAGGAGGAAACCGGAAGACCCAGAGAAAACCCACAAGGTTGGACTTGCGACTCTACTCCATGTCACATACAACCAGGGAATCGAAACCACGGCAGTTGACTGAATGACAGACCGTATGATACAGCGCGCATGTGCAAACCATTCAGCCATCCAACCCCCTCGTTTAAATCAAAGAGGTTTCATAGTCTGTACGTAAAATAAGAGGACATCACATTTACATATCACATTCTTCACAGTCAGTATTTCACGCTGTATAATCAGACATCATACCATCCATCACAATCACACACACGTGAGAGAGAGAGTTTATATCATTCTTCACTTCTCCTCCAATATCAACGTTTCTTGTGGAAATAATCTCGCAGATTCTAATGTTAATGATTCGTCTAACTGCGTAATCTGAAAATAAACAGATAAATAAAACACTCGGTCATTTTGAGGTCCACTCGACACAAACATTTATTTCAATAATTCGCTTGCGCATTGGGGTCTTTAGCAGTGGGAGGAAACCAAAAGAACCTGGAGGAAACTCACAAGGTTGTACAGGCGACCCTACTCCTTGTCACGTACAACGGAGGAATCGAAACCACGCCAGTCGACTCAATGACAGACTGTATGATACAGTGCGCATGAAATATATTATCATTTATTTGGTTTCCATTGTATTGTTTATCATTGTCTATCGATACCAAGAATCTTGGTGGTGTAGTTAAATGAGCCGTTAGCAGAGGTTAGTGTGAACTTCAAGGGAAGACAACTCTGTTTGGCAGATTGACACACTCCTTGTCAGACCTCCAGGTTCCTGTGATTGAGAACCGTCCTTCAATAAGTAATAAAATACACGGTCTGCTTAGTTGAGGTTTGAGCAAGGTGTGCAATTAATAATGGGAGATATCTATAGAAAAATGAAATGAAATGAAATGGGGTTTAACGTCCTACTGTTTTGCTCCGAATTGGGCTAACGAAGACGGGCATACGCCATACAGTGTGCTATGAGGGAAATTTTGCCCGGACAGCGGCACTACGGCCTACTCTTATATCGAATTCCAACTGTCAAGGGATCTTTTACGTGCACGCCAATGTGTACACGGGATCTCGGTTTTTCGTCTCATCCGAATGACTAGACAGCTGTCTTTGTCAGGCCCTCCGTCCTGCATCCCTGACAAGGGGGAACCACGCCGGAAAATCGGGATGAACTTTCTCGGCCAATGCAGGGATCGAACACCCGACCTCCAGGCTAGCGAGCCAGCGCCTTACCCACTAAGCCTCCGTGATCCCCAATAAGTAATAAAATACACGGTCTGCTTAGTTGAGGTTTGAGCAAGGTGTACAATTAATTATGGGAGATATCTATAGAGCTGTAGAGAGAGACGTTAAACCCATTTCTCTCTCTCCCTCCCTCAATAGGTTACAATTTTTATCCAATTTTAAAAATTGTTTAAATATGTCATCGTTACACTCTTATGAGGATTGATAATAAAATGAAAATATGAAGCAGACGTTAAACAACAACAACTGTATACTTACATCTCTTCTGGGATATGTTGTCAAAACTTTATATTCTTCAGTATGAAAGCCCTTTGTTATTAAGAAATTAAGAAGAGTTTGAATTGTGTCGTCTGCCCGAAAGCGTCTGTTTATTATATCTCCACCCTTTACACGGAATCGTATAACACTGATAGGATAGGTGGCATCTTCTGGTGGTTCAACTGCTAACGATCTAGACACCGTTCGCTGAATGGCCTGTAATAGTAATTTATGTATGGATAATTTAAATCATTTCTTGACTCGAAATCCTTAAAATGCTTTTTCAAGTTTATCAGGTTTATTTACTAAGATGCGATGAAAACGCAGCACTTTTATAAATGGATGATCACAAGAAGCACACGTAAGAACGATGATTTAGTCTGCGTATAAACACCAAAATTTCTATTCGGTAGAAATGAAATGTGGTTTAACGTCCTACTATTCTGCTCCAAACTGATCTTTTAACATCCACTTGTCATAAAATAAGTCATTTCGGGACTAATATATGGTTCAATTTTATTTTAATAATTTGTTTGTGGATAGGGGTCTTTAGCAGTGGGAGGACACGATTATTGGTAGGCGATGAATAATGTCTTCAATAAATAATATGAGCGGATGCGTAGAAAATACCTTTTTGGCATCTTCTTCTTCTTGTCGTAATCTTTCTTCCTCTCTCTGTTTCTGTAATTCTACCTCTAATACAGCTTGTCTTTTAGCTTCTTCTTCTCGCTGTATTTCAGCCTAAAATAATCAAACACCAGGTTGCTTAAAATCAAACATCCAGAAAAATTAACAGGGTATTCAAGTGCTAATGTCCAGCCTTATAAATATAGCCCTTTATTAAACTTTTGCTGTTTGAATGTATCAAATACATCAACAAGAAACTATGTGTAAATTTTTGTGTTTCTGCATCAAAAATATTTCTCATAAACAGTGATTGAAAGTTGAATAAGTCTGAGAATGCTTTGTGAATTCGGGGCCAGAAATTTCTTATTAGCTCATACTTTTGATCCGATTTACTTCAAATGAATTTACTCAAAATTGTTCCCCTTATTTTAACTAAAATATAGCCATTTATAAAACTTGTGTTGTTTTAATGTCGGAGAATGCTTTGTGAATTCCTGGCCAGAAGTTTCATATCGACTCATCCTTTTGATCCGATTTACTAAGAAATCGTCAGTTAAAACTATGTAATACCCTGTTGATGTATATGACAATAAATTATGTAATACACTGTTGATGTATATCAGAATAAACTATGTAATACAATGTTGATATATATATCACAATAAACTATGTAATACACTGTTGATATATATGACAATACCTAATAGAATATTGTAAAGTTTACCTTAGCTTTATCTGCTGCTAATGATTCTTCATAATCAGCATCTTGTTGTTGTTTTATCATTTCTCTATTTGTTCTCTCTTGCTGTAATAATATAATATATTACATTATAATATATTACATATCTTACTGTAATACTAGTATATAATATAATACATATCTTACTGTAATACTAGTATACATTATAATATATTACATATCTTACTGTAATAATAGTATACATATTTTACTGTAATACTAGTATACATTATAATACATATCTTACTGTAATAATAGTATACATATCTTACTGTAATAATAGTATACATTATAAAACATATCTTACTGTAATACTAGTATATAATATAATACATATCTTACTGTAATACTAGTATATAATATGATACATATCTTACTGTAATAATATTATACAATATAATACATATCTTACTGTAATAATAGCATACAATATAATACATATCTTACTGTAATACTAGTATACAATATAATACATATCTTACCGTAATAATATTATACAATATAATACATATCTTACTGTAATAATATTATACAATATAATACATATCTTACCGTAATAATATTATACAATATAATACATATCTTACTGTAATAATAGTATACAATATTAAACATATCTTACTGTAGTAATATTATACAATATAATACATATCTTACTGTATATGTAAAACAAAAATCTACAAGATAAACCTGCTGACAAGACAGAAAATAGACATTGCACCAAATAAACAAACATCAAATCAAGTGAATGGATCCGGGGGCCAGCCGTAAGCGTCCACTGCGCTGTACAGTCCCCGGCCTGTAGGGTTAGGGTTAGAGAAATTAGCCTATCTGTTCTGACATCCACGATCAGAGGTTATAGTTAACTATACAACACATATTCAACTTGAAACCAGCTTTTTACACAAATAATTTTTTAAATGAAGGGTGAGTGGAGGGATTTCCGTCACCAAAAAAGATCATACATGGGTCAAACAGGAGATGAATATAGCCTTATTTTTAAAATCAACAAGACAGAGAGCCTAAATGATGTAAATTTTGTTTCATTTCATTAAGTATATTTTTTTTTATGCTAGACAATCCCAGGAATGAAGTATTCTATTTACCTCTTCTGATATATCAGCTGCTTGCTGTTCTTGGAATATTTCTACAGAATGGATTAATCTAGTCATTAATTCATCTAACGTAACATGGCCTGAAAATAAAAAGTGGAAAGTTAAAAGATATTCATTAACCATTCAGCCATCCAATCCCCCATGAATGGTATAAACAGAAATGGGTTTTAACTTTAATGTAACACAAATCCGATCATATTGAAACAAAAAAGGTGTGAATTTATTGACTGATGACACTGATTATAGCTGAATAGATCACTGATTGTAGCCGAACAGATCACGGATTATAGCCGAATAGATAACGGATTATTGCCGAATGTAGCTGAATAGATTATAGCTGAATAGATCACTGATTATTGCCGAATAGATCTCTGATTATAGCAGAACAGATCACAGATTATAGCTGAAGAGATCACTGATTATAGCCAAACAGGTCAAGGATTATAGCTGAATAGATCTCTGATTATAGCTGAAAAGATCTCTTATACATTAGAATCGATTATCTATTAATTGATTCTGATGGTTTGTTATGTGACCCTAATCCTTGACACGAGCAGACATGGGATTAGAATCCCTTGTGTTGATGACAGACGTGACAATCTAATGTGCCCTCATTTACCCTAAATAACATCAACTATTTCATTACAAAACTTACCCTAAATAGAGAGAGAGAGAAACAGAGTTTAATGTCCATTCGACACAAACTAGGTCATTTCGGGACTAACATATGGTTTAATTTTATGTCAATAAAACCAGGGATTCGAAACCACGCCAGTTGACTCAATGACAGGCCTCACAATACAGTGTGCACGTGCTATTACCCTAAATAACATCAACTATTTCATTAAACTCACCCTAAATAACATCAACTATTTTATTATATAACTCACCCTAAATAACATCAACTATTTTATTACATAACTCACCCTGAATAACATCAACTATTTTATTACATAACTCACCCTGAATAACATCAACTATTTCATTTGTAGCTCGAGATCTTGATATGACTAATAATGCTGGTAATTCCTCACTACTATAATTTCTCATCTGTGTTGCTGCTACGCTACCAAAATGTCTGGTTGCCATAGCGATTAATCTGTAATATAAAATTATTTCGTGAATATAATCGGAAGCCTTGATGGCTTCAATCATTCGCTTGCGCGTAGGGGTCTTTAGCAGTGGGAGGAAACCGGATGACCCAGAGAAAGCCCACGAGGTTGGACAGGCGATCCTACTCCTTGTCACGTACAACTGGGGAATCGAAACCCCGCCAGTTGACTCAATGACAGACCGTATGATACAGCGCGCGCGTGCTAACCATTCGGCCATCCAACCCCCTTCCTCCCCTCAGAAACGGTCCAATTCTGTTCATTATTTACAAAGATATGATGAACTGAAATTGAAAATAATGCAACATAGGGCATCAACTGCAGTCAACATATCATATCAACAAGCCACGTCTAAGAGTTGGGTAAAATCGTTTAATAGGCCCCTTGTTAATGGTAATCTAAAGTAAACGAAACACGCTAAAAATTTACTGACTAGCAATTTTTTTTTGTAAAACAATGCCTTGGTGAAAACATTGGCATGACGGCATATAAATGATCCCTTGACAGTTTGTAGAGAAAATCGTCACTGTCCATGCAAAATTCTCTTTGTTGAAAGTGATTAAGGCACTTTTAACCCAAGAAGCAATGAAATGAAATGAGGTTTAACGTCCTACTGTTCAGTTCCGACTGGGCTAATGAAGATGGGCATACGCCATTCCGTGTGCTATGAGGGAAAGTTTGCCCGGGTAGTGGCACTATCGCCTACTCTTATATCAAATTCCAACTGCCAAGGGATCTTTAACATGCATGTCAATGTATTTATCCAAACGACTAAACAGTAGTCCTTGTCAGGCCCTCCTTCCTGCACCAGTGACAAGAAGGAACCACATCGTAAAACTTTCTCGGCCAATGCAGGGATCGAACATGTGACCATAGCTTCCACAACAAGAAGCCTTGTAACTGACAATTATTTTTTTTTGTCAATATTACACAGTGGTGGCTGAAATATTCTTTTAAGTCAACACATCTTTAAATTACATAAAAAAAAAGAAACGAACCTAGCTGTGTTGCATTCGTGCGTCATATCCCAGGCCCACGTTATAAAATTTGTAGAAAGATAATTAACGATGCCGTCGGAACATAATAACTGAGAACAGAAAACATTTGAGGCGATACTTCCATCATGATGAAGATAAACTGCTAATAATTTCCTCTGAAATAAAAGAGAAGAAATTTATACAAATGTCAATCAATCTGACTAAAACACAGATCCTATTTCGTTTCGTTTTTTATAGTTCAAAATTTTACTTGTCTTTACTACACTAGGATCTGAAAGAATTGTTATATAGCCTGTGTTCAGGATGGCGTGAGGGATTAGCCAATGAAACCATCTGTTACGGCGAATTCTTGGTGTGAAATACGCCAGAAATCTCAATCAAATGACAATCTCTAGCGTCTGGTTATTCCAGTCTACACCGATAGCATAAGAATATGTCGTCACCCTTTGACATGACTTGTGGAATATGTCTAGCCCAATTCTTCGAGTCTCTTGTTACAAATGGCGTGCTCGACTCGTGTACCAACGGTAAAAAAATTTATTTTTCAATATTGGATATCAGAAACAGATCTTTTCCCAGTAAGATCACAACATCAATGTTGATTTAGAGACTTGGCTACTTTAAATGTCTCAAGTAGCGGCATGGACCTTATAATACATGGACTGGTTACGAGAAGCAATATCACTAAATGCCTGCCGCGCGAGACTTTGCACGAGAAAACACGAGAGAAGCCAATAGCGATATTACTCAATGTCTTCGCTAATTAGCGATAAACACCCGTTTTCATCGTTCCGTTTTGTGTCCTGAATTTACCAAAAACTGCTAAAATAAACTGTTGTTTGACAAAATAAGTCATTAACTATAATTTCCGTTGCATATATGTATACATTTTATTTTAAACAACTTTGTAATTACCATCTTCAAAGTACATGTAGACTGCATCTCCGAAACGAAGACGTCGCCATTGTTTGTTGTTATATGAACAATCGAAAACATGCGTCGGGATTTTTGCTTTCAATCAAAATCTATTTATTATTTCATATTTTTCTGACATAATTCTGATACACGTGAATCTAAGAAAAAAAATCATCGATTTTTTAAAAAAGTGGAATATAGTTAATTACATCCTAAAAACAACGAAAATAACACTTTAGACAATTTTATGAAAAAATATGTGATTTTATTTTTGCTTTCAATCAGTGAAACATTTATTTTTGGAATTAATGATCCCTTTCTCTGTAAACTTTGATATCTTATCTACGGTACAGGGCAAAATTTTTATTTTTAAAACAAATATTAACATTTTTAAAAAATTATTTTGTTTTGTGATATTTTCAAGTACCAATGCATGTACTGTTCAACAATCATGAATAAACCTGTATTTGATTTGACCCAAATTATCCCACAGTTTTGCCCAGTTTATTTAGATAGAAGAAGCGAGAAATTTTGTTTAAAATAAGTTTAATTTTATTGGCATATTATTCAATAAAATATAAACATCCGACGACTCGCAGATTTATTTATAGGTGTTGTAAGCCATTATACTCATAATGGAGCAGTACGCATGCCAGGTAACTACAGACGCCGCGAAGGGACATAACTCGTGAACAGCTTTCGTTTAGTCGTGATTGACACGTCTCAATTTACCACGACGTGTCTCAAATTACAGCGCGGCACACATCTCTGGTTAGGTTATTAAGCCGTTGCCAGTCCATGTATTATAAGGTCCATGGTAGCGGAGTCCTTTTCTACACAGGTTAATCCTGCTCCTCTCCCTCCATCACTACCAAAAAACAATAAAGAATACAGTTTAATAATTTGAAATCTTACATCTTTTGCTTTCTGTTGTAAAGATTCTTTTATGGCATCATCTAACGAACCCAGGAAAAAAATTGGATGACAGTCGCCATATCTGAAAAATATGAGAGAAAAAAAAAACACTAATAAAATAATTCAACGGCAAAACTAACTCATGCCCTCCCCCCTCTCCTGCCTTAATCCCAAAATAAATAGAAGACACAGCTAATCATTTGGATATTTATTGTTTTATAATAGAGAAAGGATTTAACGTCCACTTGACATAAACTAGGTCATTTCGGGTCTAACATATGGTTCAATTTTATTTCAATAATTCGCTTGCGCGTTGGGGTCTTTTAGCAGTGTGAGGAAACCGGAGTACCCAGAGAAAACCCATGTGGTTGGACAGGAGAAACTACTCCTTGTCACGAACAACCGGGGATTCAAAACCACACCAGTTGACACCAGCTAAATCTGCCTACTGCAGGTCTTTCTTTAGGCCTGAAATGTTTTCTAAATTATTAATTAGACATTGATTAACTTATCCAGACCATAATCAACTCTAGATGGCATCGGTTTTCTCCGATATTAAATAGATTAGAACAGTTCAGCCATATTTCGATTTAATTTAAAAATGGAGGAGCGAGATTTCGAGTCGAACAACCAGTACAGTGGTTGAAATTATTGCACACGTCTTGTCAAACCTTCAAAGGCTAATATCTTTGCTCGCAATAGAGTAATTTGAATGAAATTTTCAAATTATTAATTTCAAATTATTATCTATTTTTGGACTATTATAGCAAGAATGGCTAGCTTTTTATCTAAATCTTACATAATGTATCTTTAAATAAACGATTTGAATACACTTCCGCATGCATTTGGATCTTGTTTGAATAAACAAAAGCCAATCAGGGGCTATAATAATACCTGTCAGACGTGAATGTTTGTGATTACGAGTGGTGATATACCATATCTATAAACCATGCTGATCTCAAACAAAGCTTACCGGGGCAGATATTGTAAAGCATTGGACTAAATAGGGGGTTACATAGTAATTTCACCTGTTTTTAAATTCTCTAGTAAAATGTTCTAGCCCTTGCATGTCGTCTGTAAAATTTTCAGGCACTGAAACAAGAAAATACAGAAAGAAATGATAAGTGTAACAGAAAGAGAGAGAAATGGGGTATAACATCTACTCAACACAAACTAGGTCATTTCTGGACTAACACATCGTTCAATTTTATTTCAATAACTCGATTGCGCGTAGGGGTCTTTAGCAGTGGGTGGAAACTCCTTGTCACGTACAACCCAGCCAGTTGACTCAATAACAGACCGTATGATACAGCATGCACATGCTAACCATTCGGCCATGAAACATACTTAACTTAACATTGCTAATGTGAAACTTATTTAATGTTACATTGCTAATGTGAAACTTACTTAATGTTACATTGCTAACACGGAACTTACTTAATGTTACATTGCTAATGTGAAACTTACTTAATGTTACATTGTTAATGTGAAACTTATTCAATGTTACATTGCTAATGTGAAACTTACTTAATGTTACATTGCTAACACAGAACTTACTTAATGTTACATTGCTAATGTGAAACTTACTTAATGTTACATTGCGTCGTATGTTCGTATTTGTGGATTCATTACCAAATATTTCTTCATCTGGAAAGGAATCAACGACTTCATCCTCGTCACTACTGCTCACTTCCATCACAACTTCCTGTAAAACACAAAACACAACTTTTAATCATGTGATCAACATTTTCACAGAGTATTAGGAAAAGTATGTTATACTATTATTTTTTAAATCTGTTTTTAATTTCAGATCTATATATTAATATTCATTAATGCATGGTTAGTCATTAGAAGGGTTTAATCTCACTGTGCCACCTAATCAACTGGTGTTATAGGGTAGTGGTGTGAATATTTAAAGGGACTATCCCGATTTGAACAGAGTCTAAAAAATAAAAGTCCGAGAATGTATGAAATTTAAACGCCAAAATATAGAGGAATGTT